CGCTGCTGACGATCACAAATGATTCAACAGCTCTGTGCCTCCGTCTCCTCCTCGGCAAAATGAGGGTAATAGTATCCAGAAAGGTTCATTGAGAGGGGTAAACAATGATGCATATTTGTGCCTAGCGGATAGTGATAGACTAGTAGTAATTGTGAGTCTACACGTGATCCCAACCATCTCCACCCTAGACAGCAAGAGAAACAGACTTCTGAACACTTGTGCCCATAGCACCATCTAATTATTTTTAAATTGCACAATAATGAATGATCATTGAACGAGTCAGAACAAGTCAGTTAGGGACAGAATAAATGCTCAAACCTCAGAAAAAATACAGATATGCAAAAAGGAAGGGAAATCAATCGCGTAAAATCCTCCCACCCAGAACCAACTGTGATTAATATTTGGGTGTATATATCCTTCTGGATCTCTTCTTATATAAACCCTTCGAAGAAACACATATGTTGGTTTACTAACACAGGTCCTCTGGTTTGCATTCCTTTGTTACCTGGTGCTCCTGGATGACTGCACGAGCCCATGTGCGCTCACTGGCTCCTCCATGTGGCTGGAGGCCATAGTACTCACAGTTATTTTTTAAATTATACACTTTATACATGTGTGTATACAAACAATTCTTGTTATTCACAGTAGTTATGTTCTACAAAGTGGCACGAACAGTGAATTAGCAAACACGGAACCACTGCTCCTGGGGGAAATACAGGGTTAGTTTCCTGGGAGCCTCTGGTCACAACATTGTCTTCAGCTCATCAATGCATAGCCTTGTTTGATGTGCTTTTCTGCTTAAAGACACCGTATGGAATACACCAAGAATGCCAAAAAAATGTAAGCACATTTTAAGAAAGGAAAGAACAATTAAAATTGTAATACTCAATATATACCGATAATAAAAGATGAATGCAAGTCACGTTTGACTTCTGCAATTACGAGAGGTGCTCAAAGTGGTTACCATCAGCATCCAGACAATTCTGACTATGGCGAACTACTGCTTCAGCAACGCTGACCAAAGTGTACACTTGTATACATTTTTTTTGGCATCTCTGGAATATATTGTTGATTCATTAACATGGAGTGCAACAGCCAACAGCACTGTAACTCCTGCCTGAACAGAGCTTATCTAAACCATGTGTGTTCTCCTTAAAGCCCGTTGTAGCCTTCTTGCACTAAGGAACACTACACCACACTTCAACACTTAGGCATGGGGGTCCATATTAAATAGTGAAATCACCAGTAAAAAGTACAAAAACTGTGAAAAATGTAGCACTAAATAAGCCACAAAGAGGGCACTCTTTACAGTATGAAAGCTGAAACAAGAAGGCAGGGCACTGCCTTAGTCAGCCTCATCTGGGAACATGACCTAAATTTTTCGTCATCTGCGTATGTCTGAAAATGACCACGAAGGTTCTGCGATGATTGATTTTGAGATTACAAATAATTTTTAGTGAGCAGGTGAATTCACAAATGATGAGGACTGGCTCTATGTATGTGTGTGTGTGTGTGTGTGTGTGTGTGTATACATGTATATACACACATATGTCTATGCATGTATGTATGCATACATACATTTTCTATTTCATTGTGGAATATTACATGTTCATATAGATGTTTGTCTTCACCCATGCTTTTCAATCAGTGAGTCATATCTAATTAATGAGTTGGGAAATCGATGCATTAAGAGCCCAGTTGCTTTGTGACAAATGTTGTTTCATGTATATATTTGATATCTCTAGGAAGGTATGTGTCTCTGAGGCTGTACTATGCATTTCCTCCTGTAAATTGCACCCAAAAAGTTCGAAGTCGCTGCTCTGCAACATCCCAGGGTGTTTGTGAGTGGGGCACTGGCGTCACACTGCCTGAGTTTGAACCCTCAGCCGTTTTACAAGCCATGCAGCCTTCAGCAAGGCACTTCCTTGTCCAAGCCTCAGTTTCTCTCTCTTGTAGTGTTTTTTGAGGGAATCAGTGAAATAAGGTATAAAAGTGATGGTGAAGGTGACAGCTGATATTCCCCAGGTGGTGACGGGCTCCGGGCTGGACAGCCAGAAGTCGGATGAAGAGTACCGTGAGCTCTTCGACCTGGCCCTGCGGGGCCTGCAGCTTTTATCCAAGTGGAGCGCCCACGTCATGGAGGTGGTAGGTGTCCCAGCCCAGAGGCCTGCCCCTCCCCTGCCTCCTGCAGCCCCGCCTCTGTTCGCTTGGAATCTGTCTGCTTCTGCCTCTCCCAGCACTCTTTTTTAAAGTTTTATGGAGATATAATTCACATATAACACCATTCACCCATTAAAAACAAATGTAGATTCGTTGGTTTTCAGTATTTTTTATAGAGTTGTACAACCACAGTCAAATTGAGAACATTTTTATTGCCTCAAAAAGAAACCCCACATGGTCACCTCCCATTCCCTGACCCCCACCCCCACTCCCCTGCCTCCCCCATCCCTAAGCAATCTACTTCCTATCTCTATAGGTTTCCCAATTCTGGATACTTCCTTTAAGGAGAATCCTATCACATGTGGTCTTTAGTGGAGGGCTTCTTTTACTCTGTATGTTTTCAAGGTCCGTCCACATTGTAGCACGAATCAGTCCTTCATTCCCTTTTGTGGCTAGTCCTCTGTTGCGTGGACACCCCAGTTTTGTCTATGCATCCCTCCGCTGAGGGACATTTGGGTTGTTGCCACTCTCCCCAGTACTCCTGGAAGCTGGTTCACCCCACTGACAAGTTCTGCAACAAGGACTGCCCTGGCACCGCCGAGGAATACGAGAGGGCTACGCGCTACAACTACACCAGCGAGGAGAAGTTTGCCTTCGTCGAGGTGGGTGCTGGCCCCCGAGGCTGCTGCTCAGGGTCCCTCCAGGTGGTTCTGGGAGTGGTTCTGAGCAAAACAGCAGCCTGGGTCCACCTCATGTGCACGCGCTGTCCTGTCCCCCGTCCGCCCTGTCAAGTTAGAATCGATTAGAAACCCGTTCTGTTCTTACAAATCCAAAGGAAAGTGTCCACTCCACTAGAAAAAGGGGCAAAAAGAAACCAATAGAAGAAACAAAGGAGAACAAGTGGCCAAAAAGAGATAAGACAAATGCCCAAACTGAAGAGTGCCCAGAGAGAGCTACAGATCGAAACTAAGATGAGACAGAGTGTTGACCAGGCAGGATGGTGAGGGCTCAGAAGATTGGCAATGCCTGTTGCTGGCTGAAGGATGGGGAATAGACCTTCTTACATCCGTTGAGTGGCCCGTCTACATTTTACAGGCTTTCTATGAGGGCAGTCTGACCGATGTATGCAAGTTTTTAATGTGTGTATGCTTTGACCCAGAAGCTCTTCTCCTGAGACTATATCCCAGGGAAATAAGCCAGCTGTGCAGAGGCATGCACGCAGCATTTATCACAGTATTATTTATAATTCCAAAATATGTGAAACAGCTGAAATGTCCTCCTGTGTGGGACCGGGTGAAATAAACGAAGGCACAGCTATATTGTTGAATACTATGTGTCCAGCCACAAAAATGGATGTACTGACAGGGAAAGATATACACTGTATGCGATTAAGTTAAAAAACAGGTTAAAGAACAACATGTAAAATGATCCCATTTATACTCAAATTAATATACTTTTGCGTATTTGCTCAAAACTGAAGAACATAAGCATTTATATTTATGTATTCACAACCATTAACTGGTCATTTCTGGAGGGGAGACTCTTACTTCCTGCTTTATAACCTTCAGATTTGTTTTTTGTTGTTGTGGTTAGTTAGTTTCATTACAAAAAGATCTTTCTATTTTGGGTGGGGGAGGAAACTCCTTCACCCTAAGTTTTGAGCGACAGCTACCTCTTTCATGACCACGTGTCAGAGACCTGGATACTAGCCCTGGGCCCAAGGTCACTTCTTCTCTCTGCATCTCAGCTTCCATCTCTGTAAAACAGAGCTGATCATCTCTACCCACGTCTATCCCAGCGTTGTTGAGAATTGAACAGTCATTGTCAAAGGAGGTTAGTGATGTCCATGAGCTGTGAAAGCTATAAAGGGTCAAGGCACATATAAGGGGCTTGAGTTGTTCTTTAGTAGATCTCCAGGCTGCACTTAGAAGGACTGAGTCTCGGGTGTAATTTCAGGCAGGGGACCAATTGTAATCACACTTGGCATTGTGCTGGGTGCTCCCCTGACCTCCTGGCTCTTCCACTGCTAACAGCCAGCCTGGAAGACGGTCTCCCTGTCGTCACCACTTGGAAGAGAAAGTCCTCCGCAAGCCTATTTAAAATGAGACTGACAGTCAGAGGGGACAGGCAACTTTGTAAAGCTGTTCGCCCCTCTTTCCTTAATGAAAGGGATACACATGCACTGTAAGACATTTAGAAAATGCGGTTCCTACCCCATGCCTACCCTCACCTTCCCACAGCCTCATAAAATCATCCAAAGACAACCACCAGCAACATGTTGCTATATTTCCTTCTAATCTTTTACTTGGAGAGGTTTAATATTTTTTACTTTATTAGTAAGCATTTAACATTTTTTTAATAAGAAAAAGAGCTCCTTATAGCATTTAACGATAAAACGAGGCACACGCAGTAACCTGCACCACCACACTCCTCCCCGAGTCCCCAAATAGGGAAACATTTTTTATCCTGTTAATTGCTTTCTTCTGGTGTTTACATCTGTATTTCTAAATAACAGGCTTACAGGGCTAGTTCTTGATTTTTCAATTTATGGCATTTTCTATTATTTCCTACTTTGGGAAATAATGATTTAGTTCTTTCATCTCTGCCCACCCACCCCTCCAGCCCACCTCCGCCCCAACACACCCAGTGTCCTTCCCCTGTCTTTGCAAAGTGGCATAATAATTCCACACTTTTTGGTGAAATTAATAATTACTCTGTTATTATAACCAAGTAACTATTATTCATTCCTGAGTCACATGGTCTATTGTGAACACATTTCGTGTACAACTTTTGTTTTCCCTAGAGCTAACAATTGTGAGAATTCTTTATATATTCTAGATACAAGTCCTTCGTCATATATATGTTGCAAGTACTTTTTCTAGTCAGTGACTTTGCCCTTTCATTTTCTTAGGGGTGCCTTTTGAAGAGCAACTCTATTTAATCTTGATAAAGTCCAAATTATCAATTATTTTCTGGTTTGAGATTTGTCTATGCTAGCTAAGAAATGTCTGCCTGGCTCAAAGTTGCAAAGGTTTTCCCCTCAGTCTAACAGATCTGCAGTCTACTGTGTTTGGAGTTATTCTGAAACTATTCCTTCCTTTGGTCCATTATCTCCAGGTTACATCTCTAGCCCGGAGCCCGGGTTCTTTTACAACATAACATTCCTTTAAGGCTTCTGTCCTGTTAGGTATTTCTCTGCACTAAAGCTCCTCTCCAGCAAAACCATTATACTTGTTGGTTCCAGTGAAAATCCTCACCTCCTGAACTCTCTTCTCACTATTTCCTCTACCTCAGAAGTTCTTTTTCTTCCTTTAAGGTTTAGAGGAAGGAAATGGCTTATTACCTAAGCTTATTCATTAATTTATTCGTTCCCTTCCAACACAAAGTTCTTGACGGTCCACTGTGGGCCCAGGTCCTGGGCAGGGGGCGTGAACAGCGTGGCTGAGCCCCGCCCCTGCAGCACGTACAGTCTGGTGCCAGGGGAGGAAGTTGAACACATCATGATGGGTGTGATAAATGTGGCGGCTGTCAGGAGGCTGACTTGGCACATGCTTTCCGCTCTGAATTCTGAACCAATCTAGGAATTAGCACTTGAGGCTGATGGGGCAGGGGGAGGAGAGGGGTGTCAAAGGATCAGGTTTATTGCTGGTAAAGCTGGACCAGAGAATGTGGCTCCCACCTAAGGCCACACCAGACTTCCTGTTTCTCCCCCATCCCCTTACACCTACCCACTGGGCAATAGGCAAAGCAGATACAGAAATACTTGCCTTCCTTCCTCGGGCGAATGGGGAAGGGATGGTTAAGAGAAGACAGGGACCCAGAGGAGAGGACACACACCCTGCAGACAGACAGATCCAAAGAGAGAGCGCCAAGGTCAGGCCATACTCATCACAGACACTTGTCTCCTCACCCCTGCAGACAGATCAGTGAGTTAAGGGGCTGGGGAGGAGGCAACTCGGGGCAGAGGCTTTCACCCCAAGACTTCTACAGGAATCCTATTTCATGGACTCAAGCGGCAGCTGGCCAAATGATTTCAAAAGCAAAGATGATATAACTTCTTTAAAAATGTTTATGGTACAATGTTGTATTTGATATGGTCTGTGGGTGCGTGTTCTGTGGAGAGGCCTGCAGAAGTCAGAATGGTCCTCAAAATGTGGCCCGTGGACCAGTGGCCATTGGTCAGCAGTCAGCATTAAGACAGGGAGCAGGTGCCAAAATGAACGCCGAGCTGCAGCGCAAAGCTCGCTCGCGGTCCCGTTTAGCTGCCATCTTTGCTTTGTAGCAGACTTTCTTGATGTAGGAGGCAGAGTGCTGATTTCCACTCTGGCACAGGTGTCTTATCTGGCTGTGAACTGGCACTTTGAGTAGCACTGGCTGGCCTTGTGATTCTGTGACGTGGTGAAGGGTGCTGGACAGACAGGTGTGCCGAGGCGCGGTGAGCCTGACCTTGCTCTGTGCCTGGCCAGGTGATCGCCATGATCAAGGGGCTGCAGGTGCTCATGGGCAGGATGGAGAGCGTCTTCAACCAGGCCATCAGGAACACCATCTATGCGGCCCTGCAGGACTTCGCCCAGGTGACGCTGCGGGAGCCCCTGCGGCAGGCGGTGCGGAAGAAGAAGAACGTCCTTATCAGGTGGGTGTTCAGATGGCGCTTTGCAGGGGCACGTCAGAAATGAGGGATGCGAGGTACAGGCCCCAGAGGAAGCTTCCTGCTCAGTCCGCTTCCAGAGCAGCCTCCGAACACACACAGACCCTTCCAGCAAGTTCCAGCAAGTTTTAGGAGGCCTTCTTAGGAGATGGGACATTTGAGATGAATTCCTCCTCAGTCTCTGGATTCAAAGCCCATGTCTACCACTGTCTATAACTGTATGAACTTAGTCAAGTTACTTTCCTTCTCTGAACCTCACTTTCCCTCACTTGTGTATTATGGATGATAATGGTACCCACTTCCTAGGCGGTTCCAATGACGACATGAGATGATCCGTGCATATACCTAAGCTCACAGCAATATGGAGCACGTTTGCAAGAAATATAAGCTATTATTATTAAAGCTTTAAATAGACAGAGATCTAATTGGAGTAATGGAGACTCTCCTATAACCAAAAAGAAAAATAGCCATCCTGCCTCACTCAGGTTCTCTCCCACTGCGCAGGCTCAGAGCCGAGTTGTTATAGCCAGTGGGGTCCTCAGAATCACCTGGGGTCCTTGTAAAGTGCACCCTTTTGGACTGCACCTCAGATCTCTTAACCCAGGGGTGGGGCCCAGGATGAGCATGTTTCACAAGCACCTCAGGAATTCTAAGGCAAGTGGCCCTGGGACACCACAGAGTCTAGAATTAGACTTGCAGTGTTTGCCTCCTTCCTTCCAGTGGTAAAGCCTGGTCTGAGCCTCTGTTCTTCCTTCCCAGTGTCCTGCAGGCAATCCGGAAAACCATCTGTGACTGGGAGGGGGGCCGAGAGCCCCCCAATGACCCGTGCTTGAGAGGGGAGAAGGATCCCAAAGGTGGATTTGATATCAAGGTGCCCCGGCGTGCCGTGGGGCCCTCCAGCACACAGGTAAGCGGCCCCAGGCACGGGCCAGCTCTGCTGATTCAGAGGCCAGCCAGGCCCTGGTAGGTCATCCTGGTGGGGCCATGGGACAGTGGGGTGGGGGATCCTCAGGCAGCAGCTGCTCTAGTCTTATTCTGCCATCTTGTTTTAATATAGGAGGGAGAACCACTGGCTTAAGATTCAGGAGACCTGATTCTAGTCCTAGATACCTGTGTGACCTCGGGTATATTACAAAAATCTCTTTGTGCCTCAGTTGTCTAATCTGGCAAATGGGGGTAAAAACAAGACTGGTAGGAGGACTTTAAAGTGAATCTATATGCATCTATCCTGTCCCTCTTTAATGAACCTTGGCCCCTTCCCCTGCAGTGACATCCTAGCTTGGCAATTCACAAGTTCTGTCTCTGACTTGCTGTGTGATCTTGGGAAAGTATCTTGACCTCTCTGAACACTGAAGATCTTCTCCATTAAATGATCACTTTGGATGTGATTATGTTATTGACAAAATACCCCTTTTATTATTCTACACATCCCCCCAAAAGCACAAGTATTGAAAGCCCTTGACCCCTTAGGGAAAGTCTAGTAATCAGAGATATTCAGGTTGTCAACCAGAGTTTCTGAACAATAGAGTTGCCTGTGGCTAATCCAAAGCAATTTGTAAAGTTAAGGAAGAAAAAAAAAAAGAGTAAAGGCTCTAGGCATTTTAGTTGAATCTTTTCCATCTACTTTAGGACAAATAGTTTCTGGTAGGCTTTTGAGGTGTTGGGGAAAAGCATGTGGATCCACTGCGGCTTTTAAAGGTCTTCCAGGCCTCAGAAGCCCCAGGCTGGGAATTCCTACTTCACATGACCTCTAAGCCTCTCTCTGCTCTGAAATCCTGAGTCCATGAGTCATCTGAGATGAATCGTCTAAGGCCTACCCCTGACCCTTCTCACTGTGTGTGTGTGTGTCTGTGTCTGGGCAGGGGTGCCGGGAGGAGGGACAGGCGAGATGTGTTCTCAGCGCAGTCGTCGTAACTTCCCCGGGCTGCACAGCCTGCAGGCCAGTTTGCACTAATCTTGACTGCTGGCTGTGGAACTCCCGAGGAAGCTTCTACAAACAGTTCTGTGTAAGGTTAAGGGCCAGAGAACTCTCCCTCCCAGAATGCCTTGGTGGGGCCAAGCAGGACTTTTGGGTGTATTTCTGTAAGTCCTATGACATGAGTGAGGGAGAGCCAGACAAGGCAAAAGCAGGAAGATGAGAAAGGATGGCCAGCAGGCAGAAAGAAAGAGAGAAGGGGGAGGGGGGGGTAAGGAAGGAGTATTTATATAGACAAGTGAGAGAGGAATGTCAACAACAGCTAGCCCCCCATCACCACCAGCGAGTCATGTTAGGTGGCACAGATGCATTTAATAGGCTCCTAGACAGAGCTGGAAGAGCCCTTAGAGACAAACTAGTCCGAGTCCCCTCCCCCTATTTTACAGATGGGGAAACTGAGGTCCCGAGAGGGGAAGTGACTTGTCCAAGCCACAAGGTGAGTCACAGGTTAAGGTGGGACAAGAACCAGGTCTCCTGACTCCCACCCCAGGGCTCTGTTAAGGCCTTCAGAGCACAGTAGACATGGGTATCTAGCAAAGCTGGGGTGTCGACTGTTCCAGTGAATTAAATGCTCTGCTCAATAAAAGTAGGTGGGAAAAGAGTTCCCCCTCTTATGGACGAAATGGATTTTCAAGTAGTTAGAATATGATATAATCAGTCACCCACATGGATTGGACTCGAAGAATCCTTTCTTTGAGGACCCCAAAGGCCATCATTGGCACACTGCTTCCCGACAGATTATTAGGGGTGATAGACACGCCCACTGACAGGCAGCAGAGGGTGGACTGTCTGATAAACTGGCCACCACGGTAGTTTCTTTACCATAAAGGGAAGTGCGATGGTAGGGACAGCATGCCACTCCTTCTGTGGCCGTGCTGCCCCTGCCCAGTGCCGGGCGCAGGATGGATAAGGTCCTAGAGACGGTCCAGAGGCAGCGAGGACCGATGTGGTGGCAGAGGGAGGTTGGAGCATCTCAGAGGTGGTCGGCAAGTGGCCCCTAGCAGTCGTGGCGGCTTTCCCACCGTATACAATACCTCTTGCTTTTCTCTCTCTCTCTCTCTTTTCTCTCTCTCCCTCTTCCCTGTCTCTCCTTCCCTCCCATTCCCTCCTCCTCTCTCCTATCTATGTCTTAGGCCTGCCAGTGGTCCCCGCGGGCTTTGTTTCACCCCACTGGTGGCACACAGGGCCGAAGAGGCTGCCGATCCCTGGTATAACACCGCCTGGCTGGGTTGGTTTGGGTACACTTCTCCAGGAGGCAGCAGGAACGGACTAGCCTGGCTCCTCAAGGCCCCTTCCAGCCCTAAGATTCAAAGACAAATGATGTGGAAAGATCTAGATTAGCACTTGTACCCTTTGCACTTAAGGCCCTCTGTACGCGGGAGTTAACTGTCTAGTAGGCCTCCTGTGTAAGTACCAAACTACACTACACCCACATTCCGACCAGGATTTTGCAGGCTGTGCAATGCAGCTGGTGCCAACAAGAGGGTAAAATTCCTCAGTAATGGATTCGAAATGCTGCGACTCATAAACTTGAGTTGGTGGGGGACTTTTTCTGATCATATCCTCTCTCACAGTTTCAGTTTCTCAGGATGTTAGAGCTGAAAGGGGCTGGTTTGAGAAAGCACCTGGTGGAACCCCCCTCATGGTAGCAGATAAGAAAACTGAGGCCCAGAGTGGGACGTTGTTGCCCAAGGTCACACAGCAAGTCAACAGCAGTGCCTGGCCTTGAAAGCCCAGCCTTTTGATTCTCAGCCCAGTGCTCCACCCATGGTGCCACCATGGCTGTCCAGGAAAGCAGAGGGTGACTCCAGAGTGATGTGGAATGAGGTTCTCCTCTGATGCCCATGCCCTTGGCTGAGCAGGGCAGACAGGAACCTGGGCCTTGATCTACCTGGTATTACCAGGTCCACCTACCCAGGGGTGCCACAGGCCCCGGGCAGTACTGCCTTCCCGGGCTGGCTAGATTCCCTCTTGAAAGTTGACATGTTCCAAATTCACTTCTCCAACCCTAAAATGGTGCTTCCTTAAGACAAAGCTTTTTAAGGGCAGGCATCTGCAGAAAAAAAGAAAAACATAATTGCAGTGCAAAGCAACCTTTGCCCCTGGATGGGGTGCCAGCCCCTGACCTTCCCACCTTATTTTCTCTTTCAAGCTGTACATGGTCCGGACCATGCTCGAATCACTCATTGCAGACAAGAGCGGCTCCAAGAAGACCCTAAGGAGCAGCCTCGACGGCCCCATCGTCCTCGCCATAGAGGACTTCCACAAACAGTCCTTCTTCTTCACGCACCTGCTCAACATCAGTGGTGAGCCGCAGGGTCTGGGGAGAGCATGGGGGCTTCCAGGGCCCAGAGCCACTAAGGCTGTCAGGCCAGAAGTTGCAAAGAGACGTGATTGTTGGCCCAAAGGGGCACATTTTGCCACCAAGGGAAAAACACACACTTTCTGGTGGACTCTGGGACCTAGGAAAGGCCAGGCTCAATCCAGCTCTTCTGACTTAGCTGGAAATATCTGTCTGGTAGGCATCTGTGGCTAATTTGTCACGGAGTCCTTAGTAGAGGGGGATCAAACACAGTAATACACACGCAGACACAGCTGGGCCCTAGATCAGCCTTTGTGTTCTAAGCAGCAGCTGATCGGTGCTCTTTGCTCCTAGCAAGGGAGGCTCCCGGGCTGTATCCCGATCCTGTGACCCCCTCTCCTCTCCTGTTATGATGCAGGCCCAGGTGCGACAGGGCAGAGTGAAGGGAGAGCCGCTCCGCAGGGTCGTGGGAGTGCGAATGAAGAGCCGTCTTAACCAACACTCCAAAGTTCTCCATAGAGAGCAGCCTAGGAAGGGCCTTGGAGGCCTCTGAGCAGTCAGGGGCCCAGAATTACCACATACAAGTGGCTGCAGCGCTGTAGCCCAGTTAAAAGCAGACACCTGGAGACCTGTTCTGACACTATTTGTACAACAAGCACACTTTGGCCTTAGATTGCTTGTTTTTGGGGTGGCTCTGTAGGGAGGAGATGGACATCCTGGGGACATCTAAAGCCCTAAAACATCCCTGTCGCCCTCCCCCCATGCACTGCCACTGTCTCTGAAGTTTAACAAACCCTGTCTTCTAACTAGACATTAGCTGGGCCTTCAAGTCCAAGAGCGCAGGATCTACTGATCGAGTCCTACTTTGAGGACTTGTTGTGTACCTAGCACGCTCATAACAATGGCAATGACAATGAATAAAAACAGTAAGATCTAATATCTTTTGGTGCTTCCTCTGTGTAACCCAAGGCTCTTTCCCTCATGCTTTTCAGAAGCCCTGCAGCAATGCTGCGACCTCTCCCAGCTCTGGTTCCGAGAATTCTTCCTGGAGTTAACCATGGGCCGGAGAATCCAGTTCCCTATTGAGATGTCCATGCCCTGGATTCTAACAGACCATATCCTGGAAACCAAAGAACCTTCCATGATGGAGTAAGAGGCAGAAGTAATTGGGCTGGCAAGGAGGTTCCTGGGGTACAGGTGGAGGGTAGTTTGCCAGTGAGCTCTGTTCTTTCCAGAACTTTCCAGATGATGCCTGGCCCAGGATCAGGTCATACCAGATTTGACTCCACCTTGCAGATTGGTTTAGAAATCTAGCAGCCCACCTGCCCTTCCTGTGCTTTGTCAGTCTCCTAACAGCCATGCTGGGAAAATTACCATCTCTGGGGATCAGGAAGCTAACATCTTTAATTGCCACGGATTTCTTTTAGTCCCAGACTAATTTTTGTAGGTCTTGGATTTATTACCATCATGGACTTTTGATTTCTGTGGGCAGACTGTAAAGTAAGTCATTCCTAAGTAGAGGCTGGGTGGCTGAAAGCTTCTCCTTTCTTGTCGATGAACTTGCTCAGCTTTTCACCCAACACTTCATATTTCCCAAGCAGGTGGGTTAAGAAGATGATTAGTAAGCTGCTGGCCGTTGTTTTTCCCTCTTCAGGTACGTCCTCTACCCGTTGGATCTGTACAATGACAGCGCCTACTATGCTCTGACCAAGTTTAAAAAGCAGTTCCTATACGATGAGATCGAAGCCGAGGCAAGTGACGCGCGTCTCCTTTTCTTCCTGGAATCTTGTTCCGAGAGGGCTGGGCATCGCAGATCTGTAGCTGTTGGCACAAAGTGGGGTTTCTTAGTCCATTGAAGCTGCAATAACAAAATACCACAGACTGGGTGGCTTATAAGCAACAGACATTGATTTCTCACTGTTCTAGAGGCTGCAAGTCCAAGATCAGGGCGCCAGCATGGTTGGGTGAGAGCACTTTCCTGGGTCACAGATTTCTCATGGTGTCCTCACATGGTGAAGGGGCGAGGGAGCTCTCAGGGGTCTCTTCTAAGGTCCCTCTGGGCTCACTAACCCTATTCAGGAGGTCCATCCTCATGACCTCAGCACTTCCAAAGACCCCCATCTTTTAATACCATCACCTTTGGGGGTTTGGGTCTCAATATATGAATTAGAGGACCATCGAATGGGGAATCAGCGACATGTTCTGGAGAGTGATCTTTATAAATATCATGATCATCAGAAAGGACGGAGAGCAGGATGATGGTCTTTCTTAATTTTCTAATGGGTCTTTTATGGTTTGATTACTTGGCTAATACTAACAACTTTAATACCACCTATCAGCTATTATGTATTTACCATTTGCCAAGCACAGTGCTAAGCCCTACATGAACATTTTAAATACTCTTTACAACAATTTTAAGAATGGCTACTATCTATTTTACTTTAAAATCTGAGGGGTCAAATGTCATTACCCCAAGGTCACATGGCTTACAGAGTGTCTGTCTGGTACTGGTAGGACTGAAATAGCCATCCTTTCAACTATTAAGCTATTTAATGAACAGTTACTCAATGGCTTTATTTCTGTAATGGTCAGGATATGCTAGGTTATGCTGCAATAACAAACAACCTCAAATTCTTAGTAGCTTAAAACCAAAGGTCTATTTCTCCATTATGGGTTGGCTGGGGGCTCTGTTACGTGTAGTCTAACCTGGGACCCATCTGGAACATTCACTAGTTGCCATGGCAGGGGGGAGGGTTCGGGTGAATCACACTCATACTTAAAGCATCCACCTGAAAGTGACACATGCCATTGGTCAAAGCAAATCACATGGCTGTACCTCCTTTCAAAGAGGAGTAAGGTAGTGCAGTCCTACCAAGGGCCACCAAAGACCAGAAACACGAGATAAATGGTACTAATGACTACTGAAATATCTCAGTTTTGCCTTCTGGAAATTGGAATGATGGTCTCTGCCCTACTTAAAAGTACATGGGGTCATATAAACATAGAATGAGGCCAAGTAAGTAAAACTTGCATAAAAATATAAGGCATTCTTATTTATAAAAGAAAGACATGCATATTTTAGGGTAAATGTCACAAAATTCATTTGAAAGTTTATGTGTTTTAAAGAAAAGCTAGTGGAGATGCTGCTTTCTTTCTAAATTCTTTGATTTCTGTGGGAGTTGAAAATCTTGAGGGACCCCAATGCAAATCTGTCCTGTGTCGTGCCTCCTTTCTCTTTCCATCCCCAAACCCTGCACCATGAAGGGCTTCATGTATATGTATGTGGATACCCGAGCTTTGTCAACTACCCTGCCCACAAACAATGGCCCCTTGGCCAGCCCTGGGCTCTAGGGGTGCACATACCTGCAGAGTGGCTCACCCTCAGGGATAAATCCAGGGAAAAGAGCACAGAGGGCCTGGAAGGGGCTTGTGTCCTATGGGAAAGGATACCCAAAGCTGGTTCTAGAGGAGGAGCACAGGGTATGAGTGGTCACCCCCACCTGGGCCCTGCAGCGTCTTTGCCTGGAGGAGGCCCAGTGCCCTTGAAGTTCAACGTCTAGGTCAGAGACCTGGGTTATCTGCATATGAGGACAGCCAGCCCTTACATGCTACTGTTTCTGTGTTCAGAATAATACCCGGGGTGTAAAATAAAAGACATGAAAGCTCTTCGCATAAAGAGTTAACCTTGTAGAGCTGAGAATTTGGTGAGAAAGGAATCAAAGATCAACAACCACCTACATAGGATCCATTTCCTTTGAAGTCAAACTGCTAACCTGCTTCTACCACAGCCCCACCTCATGCCAGCCCCAACTCAGTCATTTCCTGCTCCTGCCCTGTCAGAAGACTGGGGTTTGATCATCTGTGTCTGATGTGAACTTTCTTCTCACCCAAGTATCACAGCCTGACACCCATGTGATGAAACACTAAAATGGCAAGGCAGTTCATTAAAAACCAAAGATGTTTAAGCAATATATTTTTTAAGGTTGTAAAATTTCTAATGACCGTCACGTCTTTATTTGCAAAGCAAGGTAAAGGAAAGTGGAAGGAAAAGTCAAGAAAGTCTAGCATGAGAGGTGGTTGGGGAGGCTGATATGGGTAATTACAGAACATGGAGACCTATCTGTTGTGTTCCCCCTGGGCAGGTCCCTTGTAACAGCGAGGAGAGGACCAGCATTCTTCAACAGCTTTTTGCCTTTTCTGTGCCTCACTGAGGACCTTGAGGGCAAGGGACCAGACTTCCCAAACGTTCTTGGCCATAGACTCTCCTTTTTTTTCTCCTTCAAAGCATCTTCCCCCACAATACACTTTGAGTGGTCCTTCCCAACTGCCCTTTTTGAGTTGCCTAAGTTCCTGTGATAAAGCTGGACAGACACCGCTGATATTCCCTGCTTCCTCTTCACCAGGTGAACCTGTGTTTTGATCAGTTTGTCTACAAGCTGGCAGACCAGATCTTTGCTTACTACAAAGCCATGGCCGGCAGGTATGAGAGCACAAGTTTTCTGTTATAAAACCTCCCTCCTTTAGCACCTAAGGAAATCTGGTGGTTACATGGGCCTGGACTTAATGTTAGAATATAGGAGAAAGTAAAATAGACAGATATGGTGCTGGACCTCCCGGAGCTGAGAGTCCGGGGGGGAAGACTGACATTAATAAAAACTGATGAATGCACAGTGACAAGGGAGGTTACGTATGCCCTGTAAAGGAAAAGTTCATGGGAATATGGGAATATATGACAGTTAAACCTGAACTAGTCCTTGGGGTGGGGAACTAGAAAGGCTATCCTGAGAAAGTAACATTTGAGTTCATATCTGAAATTGATAGGAGTTAAGCAAAAGTAGGTGAAAGGTGGGACAGGAAATTGTAGGCAAAAGGCTCTATTTGTGCAAAGTCCCTGTGGCAGAAGTATAATAATAATGATAGCATGCCAGATACCCCATAATGTCACTTATAGGTAGAATCTGAGAAACAAAACAATAACAGAAACAGATTCATAGACACAGAAAAAAATTGATGGTTGCCAGAGGGGAGGGGATGGGGGAGTGGAAAGTGTGAAGTTTTAAGTAGAGGTGCAAACTTCCAGTTATAAAATAAATAAGCCATTGAGATGTAGTGTACAGCATAGGGAATATAGTCAATAATAGTGTAATAACTTTGTACAACGACAGGTAGTTACTAGACTTACCATGATGATCATAACATTAGGAATATAAATGTCAAATCCTATGTTGTATACCTGAAACTAATATGTTATATGTATTGAAAAGTTCAATAATAATAATGGTAATAATAATAATAGGCCTATTTCTTAGGACTGTTGAGAAGATTAACGTGATTAGTACATGTAAATGTCTCATTCACAGACCACAAGAGGGGGCAGGCTTCCTGACAAAGCTAGAGAGGTTGGAAGCATTAGAGAAAACACAGGATGGAAAGAATGATCTGTATCTGTGGTGTCCATTAGAAATATAATGCAGTTATGAATGTGAGCCACAAGTGTAATTTTTTAAATTTTAGCAACCATGTTTTAAAAAGGAAAAACAAACAGGTAAAATTAATTTTAATATATTTTAATGTAGTCCAATATACCTGGAAATACTATAAACAACATGTAAGAATTAAAAATTATTAAAGAGATAGTTTTCATCTTTTTCTGAGTCTCCAAAACCTAGCATGTATTTTACACTTATAGTACATCTCAGCTTGGACGCACCATGTTTCAGGCGGTGCCTCGGTAGGTTCCTGAGGCTGGTGGCTGCCACCTATTACTGGAGAGTGTAGATTTTTAGATTATGTCACATTCCTGCCGAAAACCTTTTAATGACTTCCAATTACATCTAGAAAACATCTAACCTCTTTACTGTGGCTTACGTAGTTCTACATATCTGGCCCCTCGACTAACTTTATAAATTCATTTTTGCACCACGATCTCCAGCATGCCCGGCCCTTTATCCACACTGGCCATCTTTCCTTTTCTCAAACATTCCAAGATAATTGTGCATGAGGTATTTCTTCCATTTCTCCCAGATCTTTCCATTTTTAGCATTTAGGTCTCTGTCCAACAAAACCTCTCTAGAGAGCTAACGCCAAATGGTCCTGTTTGGTTATTTGCAGAGCACTTATTACTCTGCAATTTGTGCCTCAGTGTGAAAGATAATAATGGTATACCTAACTAGTAGGGTTGTTGTGAGATTTAAAATGCGTGTTTTATGTGCCTGTGTATTGTGGGTGGGGCTACACCTAATAATAAATACTATGCAGATGTTTACTATTTGATATTTTATTCCTCTGCTTATTTATTTAGTATCAGCCTGTCTTTACTAGAATATAGGCTTCATGAGGACGGGAACTTTGTACCCCTAGTAGTTAAAATGTTTTCTATTGGAAACTTTTGTGGGATTTTTGGTAAATGAATAAAAGAAGAGAGCAGATCAGCTTCTCTCTTGCCTGTCTTTAACTTAGAAATTCTATTTCACATGGTTAACTCTTGGGGTTGCAAAGAAATTTGAAGAACTTTGCTCTCGAACAGAAAAAAAAAATATATATATATATGTATAGATAGATAGATAGATAGATGGATAGATATTTAAAATACATAAGATAGTGTTTCATGGGCAGACGCTGTGGTCTGTTTTAGATCGTAGGTGTGGCTGGGCAATTGCAAACCACTCACTGTCATGTTTGCTGGTCTTATTTGACTTTTATCCCTTCCAGTGTCTTGTTGGATAAACGTTTTAGAGCTGAATGTAAGAACTATGGAGTCATCATTCCATACCCGCCGTCCAACCGCTATGAAACGCTGCTGAAGCAGAGACATGTCCAGGTAATGGTGACAGAAAGCCACAGTGGAACGGGCTGGAGAGAATAACTGTGAGATCAGAAGCCAGGACGGCGTACTGTCTGCCCTGCGTATTGCCCCGTCTGGACTTCTGAGCGTAGGTGTAACAGCCCCAGAATCTTACAAACAATAAAAAGGCCTCAGACTTCTCATCCCATCTGCAGCTCACCTCTGGGGAGCTGTGGTCACCAGCGCCTTTGTCTTCCCATCATAAGCTGCAGCCTGTTTCCTTCAGTGGGGACCGCAGCTCTGAAATGGGTCAGCCTGTCCCTGAAGAGGGCTCGAATGCTGGCCTAAGTGAAGGAGAGCTGTGAGCCTTTTGAAATGAAGCATGTCAGCTACGTCCAGCGTAGAAATGATGATTTGTTTTTTTGGAGTTGCTTTCTGTTAACCTTTGACCCCCAGAGGTAGAAGAATGCCGGTAGCTCAACATCTCTGCTTAAAAATGTTAACCAGAGCCGGGCAGACAAAGTGAGATGCGCCAGCAGCCTCTGCACCCTGCTCCTAAGCCCTGTGGTCAGCCACGCGGTGGAGAAATGGCCTCTATGCTGCGACCTCTGCCTGCTTATTATGTGGTCCATGGTGCTTGTGGAGAAGATGCAGGTGAAGGAGGGGCAGAGCCTCCACTGAGAAGATGCCCTAGAGGAATAGGAAAGGGGCACCTCGGAAACCTTGGACATTCTCATTGCTATGAGAAATCCAAGGGAAGTGGAGACTTGTAAGAACCTTTTTATCTCAGCCAACAGCAGGAGCTCAGTGCTTTTACCTTTGGCCTCTCAGAAAGTTCTGGCTGTCAGTTACCGATGCAGCCGGAATTAGCCACAGGATATTAAATACTGAGGGTTTTATGTGTGCATGAGATAGCTATAAGGGGCCTTAGTCAGTGGTAGAAATGTTACCCAAAAAGACAAGTAGAAAAAAATAAAACAGTTAAGAATAATCCTTGGACACCTAGCAAAGTGCAGTGCACACAGTAGGTGCTCAATAAATGTTTACTGCTGTCTATGTAGCACCCACGATAATGCCCATGTGTACCCCGGTGGAAATTATCATAAGCTGTATTTTCCATCCTGTAACCAGTGCTTCATCCTCCTGCTTTAAAATTATCCCCATGAAGTTACCCAGTAGGCCGTTACTGAGGGGGCTGCTCTTCCCAGGGGACTGTGAAGATCCTCAGGGCTAAACTTAGGATGTCAGCATTGCACGGGATGCCAGAGCCTGTCCTGAGCCTCTTCCTGTGATTCTGAATGAATCGTATTTTCCCTCAATGGTTTATATTTCAAAACTACAGGAAAGTGGAAAGAATAATACAGTGAACACATATGTACTCCACAAATTTATGATTATTAATGTTTTACCACATTTGCTGCACTTTCTTTTTCTCATGTATATGTTTTTTCTCTTACAAATACAGTAAATATAGTGTAAATGTATTTTAGTATACATAAATCATATATAAATATATAAGTATATAAATAATGTATTAAAATATATATTTTTAAGATATATGCTTTTTTTTCTTAGCCATTTGAGAGTAAGTTGCAGACATCATGACACTTCACTCCTGAATACCTGAGTGTGTATCTCCCAAGAACAGGGACATTCTCTCATAATCAAAATAGAATTGCCATACTCAGGAAATTTGACAATATTGTTTTCTACAGAGTCCCCATTTGTCTCAGTAATGTCCTTTTATACTTTCAACCCAATTTCCTATCAGTGCATTGCATTTAGTTGTCATATGTCTGTGCAAACCTTAAGTAACTTCTCTCTCTCTCTCTCTCTCTCTCTCTCTCTCTTCCACGCAGCTCTTGGGTAGATCAATTGACTTGAACAGGCTCATTACCCAGCGCATCTCTGCTGCCATGTATAAATCCTTGGACCAGGCTATCAGCCGCTTTGAGAGTGAGGACCTGACCTCCATTGTGGTAAGAGACTGGGGCCCGTGGGACTTGCATTCTGGGATTCCTCTGATAGGAGCCTAGCTGGGGGTTGTTGGGAGACTAGTACTAGGCTAGTTAAAGAGAAGCAGTATGTCTCTCCTATCGGAATGGAACAGAAAAATAAGGATCTTGAAATGTCTTGAGATGGCCAACCTTGGGGCACAGCTAGCTGCTTGTCTTCAGGATTGTACAGCTCTGAGCTAGGGGTGAGTGTTCCTGTGAAGCTAGGGAGGCATGGGTGTGCAGTCGTACAGGCCTGGAAGGGCTCTGTGCTTGGTTTAATGCTCGGCAGTCACCATCTTGAAATTCTTAATAATTTTATAACAAGGGGCCCCGCATTTCCATTTTGCCCTGGGACCTGCAAATTATAGAGTTGGTCCTAACACACAAGCATGCAATAGGCCTGCTTCCTTCTCCTATAAAACAGCAATTTGAACTTCTCTCTGATAATTCTCTCTAAGAAGTAGAATCAACTTGATTGATCAGTCTTTAAGTAAATCAAAGGAAGACTTTAATGCTTTGAAAAGCAGATGAATGGAAGGAATGAGGGAAATAGAAAATCATCAGTCATCGTTAGGTCACGACAGTAATAATTGCTGCTGGCAAGACCCAGCAATGGGTGCCACAATTAATTAGCGGGCAGGACTTTGAGAAGAATATATTATGATTCCTCTATTATGAGAGTCCTAGAGTAGCCAAATTCATAGAGACAGAAAGTGGAATGGTGAGTACAGAGGAATTGAGAGTTAGTATTTAATGGGTACAGGGTTTCCACTGAGGAAGATTAAGAATTTCTGGAGATAGAATGTAATGATGGCTGCACAACTAGTGAAAGCATTTACTGCCACAGAACTGTGTATTTTAAAATGGTAAATTTAGTGTTATGTGTATTTTCCCCACAATAAAAAATTACTAAAATAAGAGCTTGGAGGAGAAACAAGATACTTGCATAGCCTCACACAATCTTCTTCAAGGTATTTATTAACTCCGAAGGGAAGAATAGTAACTTCACAATGGGGAAACCTTGCAGACACCATCTTAACCAAGTATCAAAGGTTAATTTCACCAATAATAAAAGACTCATGTATCCCCTGATATGTATTCTTCTGTGGTATTCTTGCCAAAATACATAATCTCAACCTAATTATGAGAAAATCGCACATAAACCCAAATCAAATGACATTCAAAAAAAAAAAGTGAACAATCCTTTTCAAAAAGCATCCGGCTCATGAAAGACAAAGAAAAGCTAAAAACTGCTAGAGATTGGAGAAGACTAGCAGACATGACAACTAAATGCAATGTGGGATCCTGGATTGAAAGCTAGAACAGAAAAAAAGGACCTTTGTGGAAAAACTGGTGAAATTTGAATAAGGTTTTTCATCAAGTTAATAATACCAGTACCACTGTTAAGTTCCTACTTTTGATAACTATTCTGTGGTTATCTAAGATGCTAATATTGGTTAAACTGAGTCAAGGATGTGTAGGAATTCTGCTGTTCTCACTTTTGTGTAAGTCTAAAATTATTTCAAAATTAAAGTTCTTTTATTTTTCAGTGGACACAGTATTTACAAAAAAAAAAAAAAATTGACGAAGAACTAGGTCTCTAGAGTCAGAAAGACCTGAAGTCCCAGTCCTGGTCCTGCCACTTACTAGCCCCATGATCTTGGGCAAGTTACCTTCTATAAGCCTGTTTTCTCATCTACGCAATGAAGGAAATATTAGAATTCACCGCAGAGTGTTGTCATAAGGATGAAATGAGATTACTGTCTGGAAAAAGCTTTGCGTAGTTCCTTGCACTTAATAAATAATAACTTAGGGGAAAAAAAAGATGAGAGGAACATGGAAATTTGGGGCTGCAATGAAACATTCTCAGGGCAAATTTTCAGCAACATTTAGTGAGAGAACTTGATCTAACTGCCTCCCTGAGACCTGGGTCACTTTAAGAGACTATAATATAGTACATGTTCTTCTGGGAGATCTAGTTTATGGAATAAATTTTTCTTTGTTTATGCCAAACTGTGAGCAGTGATGATGTCCAAGGGGTGGGATTTTTATTTTCATCTTTTTGTTTGTTAATCTGTATCTTCTAGTTTTTCAGTAATGAATGAACATATCTTAGGAACAAACAGGTTTGAGGTGTGCGTGGGTGTCCATGGCCTCTCCCCACCCCACCCCTTCAAAGGCACTGAATGTTCTCTTAGCTGAGAACAAAATCAAAACAAGCAGTAAAAGCCCTTCTCAGGTGAGGACAGGGGCCCCAGGAGAGTAACCACTTCCTGTGAAGCCCTTGAAGAGGAGACCTCAGGGGTGCTCCCTCCGGTGGGGTCAGGAGGTTCCCACTCACCCTAGCTGAGAAACTACTGCCTCCTCTGAGAAACAAACCAAGGCATGTGCTCCCCTCAGCCCTTCCCTCCGCCTTAGCAACGCCAGTCTGAGACGGGGAAGCAGCTTGATGCCGAGTTGGGAGGGTTGCAGCGATTTCTTGTCAATCACCTTCCTCTTACCCAGCTGAGCAAATACACGTAGATTCTCCGAAAGATCTGGTGCTCAAGTTGAGAGCTGGCAGCCTGCAGGCTGTGTTTTCTTTAGGCTGCAGAGTATTTGAACATTTGAGCCAACATTTAACATTTGGAAGAATTCTAGTAAAACAGCAGAAGCTCTGGCAGCACCAGACCAGCCTTCCTAGATGGCAACAATTGCCTAGAAATGACTAGACATCCCCGTCAGCTGGGTTGTGCTGTCTTTGGTTTGCTGCTAGCCCCACTAGCTCACCTCATCGTGTCTGACCTACCAGGCCTCCTTGAACATGAGCGTGAGAGCCTGGTCTTCTCACCTACCTGGGGCCACAGAGCTGGTTAACAGTCGCATGTGGCTGACACTCAAGTGTTCTGGTTGCCTTTGAAGAGCTCTTGGCACTGCTTCACAGAAGTTACCTATATGGGTTATTTCCTCAGTAAATCCACTTTGCTGTACAATGCTGATGTCCTTTCAGGAGGGACCCGAACCCCTCATGTGGCCTTTCAAACCCTCTGCCTCCCACAGGCAAGGGCCCTCCTGATGGGAAGGCCTGAAGAACACGGCTGATGCAAAACCGCAGAGTGGATTACATAACAAAGAAACAGCCCTGTACTGATGCATGGCAGGAGAAGTGGACCTACATTTTCAGCAGCCCCATATCAACAGAGTTGAGAACACTCCTTTTAGCTCCCGTGTAAACACTGACACGCATTCATGAGACTGTTAAAAAGCACAGAACATTAGAACAGAAATCGTTCCCCGCTTTCTCATCTGCAGTTATCTTCCCAGTAACAGGGTGATTCAGTGATCTTAGAAATAAACTCATTAGCGTTTATTCCTTTTATCATTTTTTTTTTTTTTGCCCATCCTAAGTGAATGGGAAGAAAGATACAGTCCAGCTAGCGAGCCCCCCAAGGGACGGAAGCAGAGAGCTGATTCTGTATTTCTGTCCTTCATTGACTTTATGGGGCATGACGACTGGAATCTTGTTCTTCCGGTTGCTATTCCAGAATGGAAACCCAGATGACCTTCTCTTAAAAAATGGCAGCATCTGCCATTGCTAAGCCCTATCCCGAAGTGGCAACACTCAGATGAGTTAATAGAAGCTCAGCCTTTCTCTGGGCAAGGGCTTCCCAGTTGGCCACAGACTACCCAACCCCAAGACCCTCTCCCACCCAGCCTGTCTCACCTAACCGCCTGGCCCCTGCAGCCATTTAAGTTTTCCAAGCTTTGATCCACTTCTATACCCCCAATTTCGAGCCCCAGAATCTGAGTTTTAGAACAGCAAAGCTCCAAGATTAGAAGCAAGACCTGGGGCCTGTATCCAACCACACTCTGGACCCCAACCAGGGTTAGGGGACCTGGTGGCTGATGAGAACACAATTGAATGCCTGGCATGGGGTTGCTTCCTAGGACTGGAGACAGCTGGGCCTCTGGCCATCCCACCTCCTCGCCATGCTCTGGTAGACTGCCCTTCCTATGTTCTTTTTGTTTCTATGTTGTAAAACCGTCTTGACTTTTCAAAGGGCTTTCTCAGCAGTTGTTTCCTTATTCCTTAGCTGTGTCACGGGGGCCACACGTGGAGTCAGCAGACCTGAATCAATGTCCTCAGTCCTGTTGTAGGTGTTCTCTGTGAATCTGGGCAGCTTGCTTACTCCGCCGAGTCTCAGCTTTCCCCTCAACAAAACAGGGACAGTTGTCCCATCTCAAAAGCCAGCTGAAACAGAACAGCATGGGAGTGTCCTAAAGCAGCACCAAGAGGGCTGCGTTGTCTCTGCTGGAGCATGTGCTTTGGTTCTTTTTGATAGCAATGTGATGAGGGACTAAAGCCAGCCCAGAGGGTTTCACTCCCTTTTTACTTCCCAGCAAATGCAGTGTCCTGTTGTGTCTGGATAGTATCCACTCTGCTCCCGTTCTCTGCCGAAAGGTGGGATTCCAACAATGAGGGTCCACAGCTCACTCAGGTCCCTGGTCATTGTGGGTAGATGGCAGACTGTGTGTCCATGGCTTGCAGCTGCATCTCTGCCCATGTGACTAACTCCTGTATGACTGAGAGCCTACAGTCCAAGGGAGGGGACATTTTGCCCCCAGCTATTTAAAAACTTCCCATAGGTGTTACATGGTGGTGAAGAAGGAAACGTTGGGGCCCAACTTCCTGGATTTCAAGCCAAGTTACTTAACTTCTCAAAGCCTCAATTTCTATATGTGGAAAGCAAGGACAGCAAGTAATATTGACTTTATAGGGTTTTTTTGAGCATGGAATGAGTTAACACATATAAAGTGCTTAAAATACTGCTTGGCACATATTAGGTTGAACCATACAAAGTTACTAATATTCGGTGGTGTTTACCCTAAAAAAATTAGTAGTCTCATGTGGTTTGACCTAATAGCACCTGGTAGGGGGTAATGACTCTAATGGTTGCTTTCTGCAGGGCAGAGATATAGCCTCTGGTGATAGCCAGTCATAGCTTTGTTGTACTTAATTGTGGCGCTGAGGGACAAGCTTTCTCTCACACTATGGAAGCTGGAAAGCAAGGAGGCATGTTTTCTTCCCAAAGGGGTGCAGGCAGGGGATGTGCACATGGTCAGTGGTCCCCTCCCCGGGGCAGGCATGCAGCCTCTCTCAGCAATTCCTTCCACTCCTCAGAAGAAAGGAATATTGTCACGTGCCACTGCGGGGTCCCAGTCCCCATGTTGGCAGTTTGGAGATTATTGGAGAGGCTCCTGACCGTATGACAGGCATCGGTAAGATAAAGTGGTACATGCTTGTGAGATGTGTGTGTGAGTCCTCAGCAGCTGTGGGTTCTCTGTCTGGCCAGGAGCTGGAGTGGCTGCTAGAGATCAACCGACTCACGCACCGGCTGCTGTGTAAGCACATGACCCTGGACAGCTTCGACGCCATGTTCCGGGAAGCCAATCACAACGTGTCTGCCCCCTATGGCCGCATCACCCTGCATGTTTTCTGGGAGCTGAACTTTGACTTCCTCCCCAACTACTGCTACAATGGGTCCACCAACCGGTAAGGGAATCCCTGTGCAGAGGGGTCTGGGGTGGGTGGGGCAGGGAGTAGCCAGCTGCCTCCTCCAAACTCGGATCAGCATGGTTGTCAGTTTGTTCCTGCAACAGGCGTCTCAAGAGCCCCTCTTGGGTGCAGGCTCTGAGCTGGAGGCAGGGTTGCCAAGGCGAGCCAGCAGACACCTTCCTGCCTCTTGGAGCCTTCAGGCTAAAGGAGGACGCAGGTGATCAAACAATCGCATGATAAATGTCCTGTGATAAGCAGTGGACTTGGAGATGGAAGAAAGCCCATATAGCCATGAGAGAGAGAACAGCACCACTTGACCCAGTCCGGGAAGTAATTCAAACCTCAAGAGAGGCATCGTCCTCTGAGGAAATATGCTTGAAGAGTGAGTAGGAATAAAAAGAGCAAAAAGGCAGGAGTAGAGTGTTCTAGGCAAAGTTTCAAAGGAGCTGAGAGTCTGGTGAGGGTGGAGCAGATGGGATAGGGAATGGTGCCACAAAAGACAGGGCAGGACCAGACCGTGCACTGCTCCACAGGCCACGTTAGGAGTGAGCATTTATGAACCTTGGGAGAATTTAAGGAAGGGGAGTAACACAATCAGATGGTGCTTTTATGAGGACGTCCACATGTGGGAATGCATGCATGCAAACAGGCATACATGTGCAGAGCACACACACATGCATGACAAAGTGGAACACATCTGCAAGATGCACACAGCCCTGGGCCAGGCACCAGGGTAGAAACAAAACCTAATCCCTTATTCCCACAGAGGTTAAAACCTGATGGAAGAGGTGAGATGTACTCACGTGCAAAACAAGTACATAAGGATGAGCAAAACTATAGGTCCTTCCATACCCTCAGGGCTGGTATTAAATAAATGTGTGTTGAACGAATGGAAGGACCTGGGAGGAATCCACACACGTAGCAAGATGCATCTCTGATTCTCTAGAGATTTGGGACTTTGGATTCTTTTGAGCACAAGTTTGCAAACCCTGGCCCACAAGCCACATCGTATCCCCAACTGTTTTTGTACAGCCCATGAGCTAAGAATTGTATTGACCTTTTTAATGGTTGAGGAGGAAATCCAAAGAAGAATTATAATTTGGTGACAACTGTAAATTACTCAAAATTCATAAAGTTTTATTGGAACTCAGCCACGTTCATTTGTCTACTATTGTTTATGGGTGCTTTCATGCTACCAGTAGAAGCTGAGTGATTGTGACAGAGACCATCTGGCTGGCAAAGCTGAAAATATTTGCTATGTAGGCCTTTACAGAAAGAGTGTGCAGAAATCTGCTCTCGAGAAAGCAAATGGGTTGGAGAGAGAGGTGGGGCCCTGGGGAAGGCCCTTGTCAGGCTCAGCCCACTCTCACTTTCTAGCCATACGCCCTGAGTCGAGCTTGTGAACCTGGGTTACAGGTTTCCCATCCATGGAAAGGGCATAGTAGTTGAATCGGAGTAGGTCAGAGGAGGTTAGTACCTTAATCGGTAACCACTTAAGAAACCGTGTCATTGCACCTGATCAGGAAGGGTTCTCACTATATTGTGTCTCCTGAAGAAGAATATTAGGACCCAGCTAACCCCTGTCCCATTTATTTTCTTTTGCTAGTTTTGTCCGAACTGCCATTCCTTTCACTCAAGAACCGCAAAGAGATAAACCCGCCAACGTCCAGCCTTATTACCTCTATGGGTCCAAGGTGAGTCGTCTTGCCTGTGTCCTTCTAAGAGGGCTAGCGAACAAAAGCAAATAGAAAAGTGTTCCCTAAATCAGAAAAGCAAGAAAGTGTAGAGATAATGAGGCAATAGAGAGATGCAGGCGGAAATGACTGTGAGTATATTTATCTTTATTTGTTCACAACTAGCAAGGATGGGGGTGAACTCAGACCAGGGGCTGGATCCTGTGCAAGAACTGTTGGGGGAAGGTGAGCCGGGAAGTAGGTGCATGGGGCTTCTCGTGGTGGCATTCCATCTTCTGCTTCTCAGTTGGTTCATTGCGGTATTGTCCTGTCAGTCTGGGATTCGTGCTTCATAAATACATATGAGGGCTTTGCAGGCAGGAAGCAGTTGAGAAGTCGAAGGTTGGAAGGAAATCCAGTGGACTGGAGCTAGAGCTGAGAGACAGGTCTTCTGCCTCTTCGCTGCTTTGTTCACATGGACACATCCTGACATTAACTAAACATCCCAAACGGTACCCTGTTCTAGACCGTCAGTCCTCTGCCATTTATTAAACGGACATTTATTAAGCACTATAGGCCAGACACTGGGCTAGATTTTACATGCTGGGGATATAGTAGCGATAAAAAACAGACATCATCTCTGCCCCCTCCTCAAGGTCCATTTCCATACCCATGGTGGCAACAGGGGGAACAACGTTCACAAAAGTCTCACCAACACCGCGACATATGTAGGTGATTCACTACTTACCCTGGGGTTTTTTATGGGAGGACTAAAAAAATGCCACTGAAAGGGTGAAATGTGTCAACAACCACCCAAAAAAAGCTAACATTTTTCTTTCTGATGGAATAAAGATGTCTACCTTTGACCCCATTTTCAAAAGTAATCACAGATGGACTTAGAAAAGGAACTAACCAGATAAATATAGCATTGTTAGAAAAGGTACTCCTGTAAGGCAGCGAGCCCTAGATTGGGATGTGCGATGAGCCAAGATGAGCCCCACCAGTTGGGCCTGAAGGTGGGGCTTAGAAGGTCTTAGGATGATGCTGGGACAGTGCAGGTATCTTCTCTAGGACAGCCCGTCTGGTCCAGGCAATGTTCTCAAATCAGGGGACGCTTACAGACAGCATCTTAGATAGTTCACAGACATGGCATTAATACGAGGGACTCACAAAGTAAAAACACCTCCTTTTTCAATTCTCTTTCAAACCATGTGGAATATATCCAGGAGAAAGACTTATGTTGGTGCTAATATGTCTTTAATACCTCTCCAACTCTTGCTAATCTCCCTTGTTATCAAAGATAAGAAAGCAGGCCTTAAGCTCCGAGTCTTTAGAAGGCAGTGGTATCTGAGTCAAATTTAATATTACTTTGTTTTCAATCTTATTATTCCTATGTCTGTTCCCTTCCATTTATTAACAGGAGGGTGCTGGTTTTCATTTTTGGAGTAATATAAGGCTATCTTTTAAAATAAGCTTAAGTTTAAAAAATGAGTCAATTCAAAGAAGATATATTGTTAGTAATAGTAAACATAGTCTATGGTTTAAAAAAAAAAAAAAGAATAAGGGGTACAAGTGGTATGTGATTGCCTGAAAGTTGAAAAATACTCTAGAGCAAGCCTTCTCACATCTTTCCAAAATAACTCCCCCAACAGCCAAGGAAATGACATCTGCTTCAGCTGATTGAAAGCATCACTCAAAGAGCCCAGCTACCACTCAGAAATGTCCTTGAAGTGTTGTGTTTTATTTAAGTCATGCAAATTTCACTTTCTACATCATAAAATGTTCATGTTTGTTTTAATAGTAAGACAATGTTTTTAACTCCTAATGTCCGTCCCCCCACCCCCAACGGACACTTCTAAGAGGCGCCATGTTTCTCCCTTGGCACACCATGGCGGGTATACGTCTTGCAGCTTGAGAAGCTTTGTCACAGGGCACTGGTCAAAGGCAGGTGATTCACAAGAGCACTGACATTTGAGGGGAGCCAAATGGGTAGTCTACAGACACATTTTTACAAAAGACCTACTGTGTGGAGGGCTTTAAGCTACATGATGCGTGCTGCCTCCTCCCCACCTCTCAGTCCCCAGAACGAGGCAGGATGGCATGTTGATCGCTACCCTCCTCCTGGAGGGCCTCCTGTTCGTCTTCAGCTTCAGCTTCCGGTTCTGCTCCAGCTCCGGAATCCTTGCGTGGCATTTCCACCAGGGGGAGCCCTTGCAGGTCTTCCTCCCTCTGACCAAGACTCGGGGCCTCCTCGGGCCATCTCACCAACCCATTGGCTTCCTCCATGTTGCCAGCTCTGTAAGACCAACGAGGCTCATGGCAGCGGACGCACCAGAACTGGAGGCAGATGAAAGCTAAGACGGCTGTGAAGCAGGCCAGCAGGATAGCCATCAGCACCCACAGGGAGATCTGCGGGTCTACCAGGGAGCTCCCCGCGGCCAGCGGACTCTTATCCAGCGTGTGGAACATGGTGCAGTAGTGCCTGTAGGGGAAGGCAATCTTCTTGCAGCTGATGCACAGAAAGTAGAGAGTGGAAGGGGTGAGGTGCTCCAGCACCACCGAGCTGATTGTTCGAGGCACTTTCTCCTCGTGGTGGAAGCTGTAGCGAAGATAGCCAGAGAAGATGCTGTTCCAGTTGGGCCTGTACATAATATGATAATAGTCCTCCAGGCAGGGCTCCGAGGATGACCAGGAAATGATGGCTCCCGTATAGGAAACGTTCCCAACCTCGATGTTCATCCTGATCCTGGAACCAGAATCAAAGTGAAAAGTGGCTTCCCCTTATTTTAGTATTTATTTTTGGTAATCATAACCACCATTGATTGAGCATTCAAGATGGAGACTAACATTGCACCCATTTTACAGACAAAGAAATGGAGGCCAAGAGGCGATGGTTCTCAGCTAGGCATAACTAAACAATGGCAGAAATTCAAATCAGGGCAATCTCTTGTCAAAGCTGGTGGTGGCTTTCAGAGCTAAAAAAAAAGATGCACTCACATCCCCTAGCCTCATCCTGCCCTGGCTCAGATCCTTTAAATATAACATTGTTCCTAATCCTTAAAAAAAAAAAAAGAAGAAGAAGAAAGGCTATAAAAGAAGAAATCAGGACAACCTCAGAGTCCCTGCATTAGTCACCACAGGTCTATGACCTCCAAGTCAAACAAATGTTTTACTTAACTATCCCTTCTGGACCTCCTGCATCTGTTCCAAGTGCCAAGAGCTCAGCCGTCTAGACCATTCTGCCCACTGCTGTTTTAGCGTCCCAGTTCTATTGCCCATGGCAGGAGGAGATTTGCTTCATCACTCATTGGCAGCTAATTCCGCCCCCCAAAGCTTCTGCTCTTGTTTTGTTTGTTTATTTTTTCAAAGCCAGGGCACCCAGGAGATTAGTTTCATAGGTCAAGAAATCAGAAATGCCAGCATAATTGCCACTACTTAATACTACTGGTACTATGAATGTTAATGGTAATAACCAACAGTTAGCCGGCAGTTGCTGTGTCACAAGTCATGCTAGGTTTCAACATACAATAATAAATTTGTTTATTCTCCATCATACCCTCTGAATTAGATCCCCATTTTATAGATGAGCAATCTGAGGTGACTCAGCTGATCAATTCGAGACTCCAAGCCACTCAATCCCTGGATTTTCAAATGCAAGGCTGCTGGGTTTAGTAATAGTAGGACATAACTGCACAATGACGTGCTGGTGTTAGGACCCATTGCTGTTTTTCCAGGCAAATCTAATGAGCCCTCTTCAGATTGCCAGTCCTTGAGCTTAGGTAAGAAAGCACCATCTTCAAGCTTTTTTGTTTTTGTTTTTCATTCAATTCCCCCTTGACTGACTTTCCCCTGATCTAAAATTCAGGGGCCGCCATATTCAACCCGAGTATGTTTACATGTAAGTCTCACCCAGCTCTGTTCTCTGCCCCTCCTCTCACAAGAAGCCCAGAAGGTTTTGTTTTAGATTGAAATGACATAGTAAAAAACATTCCATCAGATTTTAACCAGAATTGGATATTAAGCCAAGCTGATTTCTATTACGAGCTGCTCTTTCTCCTCCCTGCCTCCCTCCCACCTCTTGTTTTCATGCCAGTATTCCTAGAGGAAGTGAGCTGCAGAAAGACGCATAGTGTTGAGTGATTTATTAATCCTTGTTTTTCCTCTCTAAAGATGACAGTGAACTAAAATGCTCAGGAAGGGGGATAGTTCTTTTCTGTTTGGCTGGAAATTTCCTCCCAGAAAAATGGGACGTGAAAGGGACGAGGCAGGTGTGCTCAGATCCCTTCAGGGGAGGTCATTGCAAAGGAGACTGAAATTTGCACTCCCTCCATTGGTCTCCTCATACACACCCATCCACCCTACCCCAACACCCCACACATCCCTATAAATACACTTTGGCCCACCGTGAAAAGAGTTTAATTCCTTACTAATGATATAGGCAATGACCTTTGTAAATCCCTTTCATCAGGAGTCATCAGAAATCCCGTTTTTTGTCCCAGGTCTTTTCTCCTGTTTGCCTCAAATGCTGCTGGCTGTCTTTGCTGACTCTGTTCCCACCAGCAGACATTTTTAAGAGCTTTCTCTGTCAGAACGCTAGCAGCATCCTCAGCTTTGAGGAACAAATCAGTCTTCCTTCCTCTGCTGCTGTTTTGAAATTCCCCCCATTTGTAGCTATTCATATTACCATTGCCTGGCCCTCTTCCAAGTGGAGTGTGAAAGGAAAAGCCATTTCCATTTCCAAAAAGAGCCATTTATGCCCCTTACCTGGTGCTTGCCGAGGAGGATCTGGTTAAAGCGTAGCCGTCAGAGGCAGAGTGGACCCAAGCCTAGGGAATGGTGCCTTCTCTCCTCTGCTCTGGGCGCTCCTTGATGTCTCTCTCGCAGCCACCGTCTGAGTAATCCCACTGTCGCCCCAACGCTCACATTATTCATTTCTTCAGGTCAGCATCATTCACCATGGCAACCAGCAGGCATCTGTACGCACGATGCTTTCCGGGACCAGCCTGGAAAGGCTTTTGCCTAGTGAGAGGAGCTCTCGTGTATTTGAGAGGGGGGAAAGGCTGGCAATCTGCTGCAAACTGATTGTTCAAGTGGTACTAATTCTTCCAAAGCTCCTACATTTTCTAATTGGTTAGTTACCTGTTTGTTTGTTTTTGTTTTATGTTTTTTGCCCCACCTAGACCCTCTTTGGACAATGATTTCAAATGCAAAGATGCCCTTCTCAGTCATCCTACAACTAAAACAGTAATTTCATCTCCATCCCCTCCCACCCACCCCACCCCCACTGGCTGGAGTCTGTGGAACATAGAATGACAAGGCCCCATGCTGCGTCCAACTGGCTGGCATTTCAGCTCACAACCACCCCACCCCCACTCTCACCTCCTACCCCACCTCTTTATCCTCTTTTTATTCTGGTTTCCTGTGGCATTACTTAGGAATGTGACACTGGTCAATACTCTTATGCTCTGTGCCTCAATTCCATCATCTGTAAAGCTGTGGCTTGGGCTGGATCAAGTGGCAGATAGAAGACATAGTACTGCCCCTGTTCGGTCCTGAACCCCCGTCAGGCTTGCTAAGTCATCATGGTACTTGTGTTGGGTTGGTTTGTGAGTGCCCCCCACACCCTAAATGCAGGTCCATCCAGAACCTCAGAATGTGACCTTATTTGGAAATAAAGTCTTTATAAAATTAATTAGTGAAAGACCTCAAAAATGATCTTATGCTGGATTTAGAGAGAACCCTAAATCCAATGACTTGTCTCTTTATAAGAGAAAGGAGAGGGAAGTATATACACAGAGAGACACAGGGAAGACATGTGAAAACAGAGATTGGAGTGGTGCTACCACAGAGCAAGGAATGCTAGGCGTCCCCAGGAGCTGAAAGATGTAAGGAAGCGTTCTCCCCTAGAGCCTTCAGAGGGAGCGTGGCCCTGCCAGCACCTTGACTTCAGGCTTCTGGCCTCCAGAACTGTGAGAGATTAAATTTCTATTGTTTTAAGTCACCGCGTTTGTGGTAATTTGTTACAGCAGCCACGGGAAACTAATATACCACTCCTTCCAGTTGGGCCCAGAAACACAGCCTCGGAGTCCTTCCCAACACAAGCATCCCAAAAAGCTGCTCATCAGTCAGTTCATTGGAGGTGACACCAGAAATAGAACCTTTCCTATTCCTGGGCTGGATGGTCCCAAAGTTCCTTTTCTTTGAAGAATCCTGACCTTGCTTGCTTTCCCTTTGCCATTTGCCACAGAAGTATAGCCTCTGAGACCCCCACCCCTTCCTGTCCCCTTCAGCCTTAAAGGAATACATTGCCGCCATTCTCTTGGGGAGATCACAGGGCATGTCTGAAATAGAGAATAAAGTCCTGTCATCTTAAGCCACCAAGTTTGAGATCACTTGTTACAGCAGCCCTAGCCCAGATAGATTCAGACCTGAGTTATTTTACACAAATTGTGTGTTTTTAAAAGGCAGCTTTTTTTCTTCTTGGTTCTTGGCCAGAGTATCCAAGTGAACCCCTGAGGGTCTCCTCATGATTCATGTTCGTGATAATCAGAAAGTCACAAAGAGTTGCCTAGTGAGTCACAGACCCTCCCCTGGCTGAGGGTCTGTGTGAGGTGTGGAGTCGGAATGTCCAGTGTCCCCTGATTAGACGTGCTCTGTGGCTTTCCTGTGGCATTCTGTCCTCCCAGGGGCCTGTCTAAAATCTGCTGTCATGTCTGCTAATGGTGATGTCCCGCAGAGCACAAAAGTGTCCTCCCCACAGAAAAGCCCTCTCCACAGGAAAGCCAGTGTGGTAGTGTGCAGGTGCCTTTTGAAAAGGTTATTTTGAGGGGAATAAAAATACCAGAGTTAGGGAGCCTGTGGAGTGATGAGATAGAAGTCAAGCCTTTGCCACAGAAAATGGGGATTTATTTTTAATGCTCCTGGATGCTATTTGGAACACTGAGCTTTTTATTTCAGAAGTTGAGACACTCACAGAATGTGAGGCCTAGAAGTCCTCTGGCTTCAGATCCCCAGAGAGGGGATGGCATTCCTCAGGCCATGCCCCTGACTAGTGGCAGAGCCGGGAATGGAAACCAAGTCACAGACCAGGGCTCGTCTTACTCCTTTGGGCTATCACCCCAAAGGAGTAGCACCCAGGGGAGCCAGTGCAGCTCTTGGCGAATGAGATACATCATCTGGGGACACTTGCCTCAGGAGATCACACCCAGCCCAGCTCCCTCTCTCTGCGCCTTCAGGGAGGCCCCTCTGCAGTCTGTCCAAGTTGTAGCTGTGGGGTAGGTGGTCCCTGATTGGTTTATACTAGGGATGGATTACTGCCAGAGGAAATCAGCCAAGAGCGGGGTGTCTGTGCCCTTCCTGAAGGCGGCAGTAAAGGGACAGTGTGAAGGCTTACCTCAGTCCCAAAGCTGATTGGCACCGAGGGTTCAGAGTGCCAGCCCTGAAATCCCCAGGCTGGGTTCATATCCTGTCTGTGTGACCTAGGACACATTCCCTCACTTTCCTATGCCTTCATTAACTCTTCTGTAAAGGGCAAATCTCAGTAATACCTGCCTCCTAGTGTTCTTGTAGCAGTGAGATGAACTCGTGTCTGCATAGTGTTGGCTTAGGAATAGCAGCTATGATGATTAAGAAGAAAAGGTCAGTGGGTCAGAGCCATTTCCTGAGTTTATCATAGCTTCGTCCAGAGGCTGTATGAGCAAGGTTTGCACCCTTGTATGATGCTTCCTTCCCTTTTGTCTTAAAAAGCTTTTTAAAACAGTGTATATGCCTATTGCACATAAATTAAAGAATATAGAAACGTTCAAAGATGGCAGTCAAACTCATACAGCTCGAAATAACCATTGAGAACATTTTAGTGCATTTTACATGTGTTTTCTCATTGTATCCATGCAACAATCCTCTGAGATAGGCTCTCTTGTCACCACAGACACAAAAGTGAGCCTTGGAGAGGTTAATTAACTTGACCATTATTACACAGCGAGGCTGTGGCACAGCAATGTGCTAAGCCTAGGTCTGTTGGTCCTCAGAGCCAGAGCTCCTAGCTGTCCTCTGATGCACTGCTATTTAGCTTGTGCCGTTCTGCAGTCAACAATAGTGAACAGTAACCCTTTGCCTTGTGGTTTGCTTCTCCTGAGAGGTTGAGACAGGACTTCACAGCATAGTGGATTCCAGAATGATGGGAACAGGCAAGGACCTAAAAGACCTGAGAGAGAGCCCAGCCACCTGAATGTGGCTGACAGAAGCAAGGAAAACATCGAACACATTTGGAGAAATTCCGTCAATACATGTTTCATCTTCTGGAGTCAGGAATCTGGGGTCTAAGTACACGTGCGCAAGAGTAAGAGCTCTGTCACTTCCATTTAGGGGTGACGTTACATGGAAAAAACCTTTAACAACTGGTTCAGTAAACAAAATTAGTATACAAGTCAAAACTTTAAACATATAGTCTCTAAGTAAAGGAATTTATATGGAGTCTATCATACAAACTGCCTTCCAAGTGATATAGATGGTGGCACGAATCATTCATCAATTATACCAATAATTTCCCAATAAATTTTCAGTCTTTAGAAATTGTTGGTGTGGTTGTCACTAGCTAATCGATGACTCTGTCTGAGCCATGATTTGACCTCAGGGAAATTCATCAAATCCTGCAATACCTTCCCCTCTAAGGCATAGTCCTTAGGTGCTTTGCTACAGCAAGCTGGGTCCATCCCTGGATACCAGCTCTTCCCACGTGGCCTGACCAGGGGGGTCTGCCTCGGTCCCACTGACAACACCACCAGCCATGCCACCCGCTTTGCTGCCTCTACCCCCACTCTCGTGTCTGTGTGGTCCCACTCACAGGCTACATGACACGATCCAGCCACCATCCAGAAGAATTCTGTTACTTTGGCAATTGGTACATGTGGCAGGATATCATTTTGCTTTTCACCTCAGGCAAGTCACTTTACTTAAATGCCCCCCTTCTAAATGGGAATGATTGCACCTGCCTTACCTGGTGTAGTAAGCTGATAATGCAGCACCCCACCCCCACCCCTAATCCTGGAACCTGGAAATTTTACTTGGTTTGGAAAAAGGGCTTTAAAGAGGTGATTAAGTAAAGAGTCTTAAGATAGGAAGATCACCCTGGATTTTCAGAATGGGTTCTAAACGCCATCACAAATATATTTAGAAGACGAGGCAGAAGGAGGTTACACACATACAGAGGAGAAGAAATCTCAGCAGAGACATTTGAAGATGGGAGTGAGGCAGTCACAACCCAAGCAATGCTGGCTGCCACCAGAAGCTGGAAGATGCAAGAGACAAACTCTCCTCTAGAGCCTCTGGAAGATCTGGGCCCTGCTGACCTGATTCTGGCCCAGTGATACTGATTTGGAGTATGGCTTCCAGAACTACCAGAGAACAAATTTCTGTTGTCGTAAGCCACCAGGTTTGTGGGCAGTGGTTTACAGCAGCCACAGAAAACGAATGCACCTGGGCAGTTACAAAGGAATTATTACGTGAAAACATTCATAAACAGAGAAGCATTGTACCCTTGTGTTACATCCTATTAGGTGATTTACAAAGTGATGACATTGGTTCCCTCCAAAAATGTTGGCATCCCTAAGTATTATAGTATTGATATGGTACCCCTGAACAGGGAAGCTCGCTTCCCGTTCTCCCTCTTGCCTTCTCCAAAGGACGTAATTCATAAGACAAGAACGGAGGTGCATCATTTCTTGAGGTTTCTACAGCGACTGCCTTGACTCTTTCAGCCTCTGAGCTGAGAAACCAAAAAGGAACCCAAAGTTTGGAGACGCAGCCCTACATCTAACCAGACGTCAAGAAAGGCTGGACGGGCACATCAGCGGTTTTCCCTATGTCCTAGCAATGGATTTGAACCTGTAACTCGGGGTTTATGCATCCTTGATCCCATCTTACCCTGTGATCTTTCCTGGTGTTGCTGTTTTTATTCATTCACATGTGATGATTTCAGAGCTTTGAGCTGCAGCTCCCTCTCTGACCTGAATTACAGAGCTGTATTTGTGTTGGTGGGCTGATGGTATTCAAATTGCTCAAGGAAATTAGAGAAATTGTAACTAAAACGGGAAATTAGAAATAGTTTTAATTCCTCTTGGGATCTCTGAAAACAGCAATTGTGATCCCCGAAAGCGGAGATGCAAATTGCTTGCAAATTCAGTTTGCCAACTAAATAGGTCTCATTGTTTGCAGTAGCTGGTCTGTGTTTACCATCTGTTGAAAGATAGAGGCCTTAGGACTAAAAGCCCATAAACCACACTTAGAAATGGGTTAAGTGGTAACTTTTACGTTACATGTATTTTATCACAATTTTTTTTAAAGTTTATATTACGAATAATGTTGTAGTGCCTAGGATCTGCCAGATCAAATTCACCATATTTTTTCTCTCCTTAAAATACTTTTCTGCTTTATTTAAAAAATGCATACCTATGTCACACGTTAATAATATGGATCTAATTCCTGTAACAGGATTGTCTGTTTCTTGAGATCTCATAAAAGTATGTGTTTTTGTGGATTGTGCACGCTGGTTCAACTTGATTTTTTTTTTTAACTTTATTGGGAAACAATGTGTTTTTTCTAGGACCCATCAAGTCAAGTTGTTGTCCTTCAATCTTAGCTGTTGAGGGTGCAGCTCAGCTCCAAGTCCACTCGCCATTTTCAATCTAGTTGTGGGGGGGGCGCAGCCCACCATCCCATGTGGGAGTCGAACCAGCAATCTTGTTGTTAAGAGCACGCTCTCTAACCAACTGAGACACCCGGCCACCCCCAGCTTGATTTTAAGTGAGCCATCCTAAACGTAATTAGTTTCTAAGGCAGGCGTCTGGGGTTGTACCTGAGTCAGTTAGTAGGATTGGTTCAGTGTAAGAGATTTGTAGCAAGTTCCCCATGTCTCAAGTCATGTTGCATTCCTGTTTTTCTTTGCTCAACCTCAGAAAATGCCCAGGCTCCCATATTCCCACATTTTCTCAATAGGCCCCAGCCTCCTATTGAGCCAGCAGGTCAGATGGGTGCCCTCCGGGGGTGTGTTGTGCATGAACTTTTCAGCATGTGTGTGTGTTTTCTTTTGCATGGGTGTGGTACATTTTGGGGGGTGGGAAGTGGTGAGGGGTGCTTGTTTACTTCGAAGGATTTGAATTCTGCTGGGAATTCATACTGGTCCTTCCTGAACTTGGGACATCAACTGAGGCCTAAACTTCTGGTCTAGACCAGAATCCAAGACTGATGTAGGATTGTCAAGAGGCTGACTGTGTGCATTAAGCGGGTCTATAAGGGGGATTTTTAAAAAACCCTTGTGTGTAGTACAACAGTTCCAAAATTACTCTCCTCTGCCTACAACTGGGGTGGGATGTTGAAGCCTATGTGTAATTTTATTTGCGCTTGCCAGGCAGTGCTAAGGGGAACTTGGTACTAGAAGCTCCTTGGGTGGGAGTGAGGGCTAGGAAGACTGGTAATTAGGATGAGCATCCAGGAAGACCCCACCAGACCTTGCACCTTAGAAAGGAGCATTAGTCGCATCTATTCCACCCCTCAACCCCAGGCAGGTTCCCTGCTAACAGTCCTGTGCCATGTTTCCCAGTCTTTGCTCAGATGCTTGCAGGGGTGAGAGCCTCTGCCCAGACAGTCTGTTGTTGGACAGCTTCCATATTTATAATGTAAATATTGAGTGAAGTCTGCATCTTGGTGCGTTTCATCAGCTGGCCCCAGCTATGTCCTTGGTCACATCCCCATATGGGATAGCCACTATGTTGTGTAGAATTGTACCCCCCCACACCCCCTGTACCCACTCCCCTCTCCGCGTTCAGAGAATCATGACAGCTAGGGGAAACCTGACCAGGAACCTGTATTTCCCCAGTCTTTACTTACAAATGATCAAACAAAGCAAATGAATGGCTGTTATTGCAGTGCGCGCTTCCAGTGTGCCAGGCACCGTGCTCAGTGCTTTATAGATGTTATCGCTAAACCTCCAACAACCTGATTAGAGTTGGTATGATTATCTTTACTTCAGGAAAACCAAGGCTAAGAGAGGTTAAGTAATTTGCTCAAGATCATCTGGCTAGTAAATTTGTGGGCGTGGAATTTGAACTCAGGCGTGCCCACCCCAGTTTGTAACTCTAGATGCAGATGAAGCCTTTTAAAAAAGGAAGTCATAGAATCATAATATAAAGTACTTGATTGCTTTTTGTCTCCTCCAGGGGTATCCATTTGAAAGCAGCCTGCTGCTTAGAAATGCCTTTCATAGGGTATCTAAAAGGGGATGAAAGACAAGTGCTGAGCTTGACTGAGTTTAGAGGAGAGGCTCAGAGTACCTGGTGTGGGTGGGGGATGGAAGGGAGTTCTGGCAGGCCACATACTCTGTCAGATGCTCCTGGGGGCCCTGAGCACAGCCAGGTCACCACTCCCTTGTGCCTGTGCAGGCTTGAGCTGCAACCCTCTTCAGGAGAAAATTAAAGTAAGGGTTTGTTTTTTTAATCTTTGAAAACAAATGTTGGGAAGTAAATTAGGCTATGCTATATAGCCCAGTGTGTTTTTAAATTTGCTTTTATATTGACATATAATCATATATAGTAAAATGCACTTAGTTCAGGCTGCTATAACAAGAAAATCATCGACTGCGAGGCTTAAACAACATTTATTTATTACCCAGAGGCTGGGAAGTCCAAGGTCAAGGCACCAGCAGATCTGGTGTCTGGTGAAAGCCCGCTTCCTGGTTTGGGGGAAGGGGACAGTGAGGTGTCCTACCTCCTAACACCATCACAATAGGGGTTAGGATTTCTACATATGAATTGGGGGGAGGGGGTACAACCATTCAGTCCACAAATGCACAGATCGTAAGTGTACATATAGTGAGTTTTGACAAATGTATACATCTGCGTAGTCAACAACCCAGGCAACATGCACAGCATTTCCATCGCCTAGAAAGCGCTCTCTCTCTAGTCAGTCTGCTTTCCCCACCAGAGGTAAGCCATGCTTTGTTTGGCATTTGCTATGTAGTCATCATCCCTGGACAGGGAAACAGGAGAACCCAGAGTGGGGCTTTGATAACAGGGCCAGAACTGGGATGCAAACGCCGAGGAGAGTGAGCCTGCTAACAGCGTGTGCTCCGGGTACCTCACTCATCTCACCCTCGTCCAGCCCTGTTTGACAGGGTCGCCTGTTAAAAACACATCGACGTGGTCTGCTCCACCCACAGCATACTACATGGCCTGGCGCCGTGGTTGGCTAGATCAAACCCAACAACTCCTGTACTTCCAGGGTTTGCTGAACACCCACTTCAGGGAACATCATGCTTGGAAGTCAGTTACATTTCCCTCCCCACATAAAGCATCCCTGTCCCATAACATTTGGAAATCTTTAGTAAGCACGTGCAAGATACCCCTCAGCCAAGTTCAGGCAGAGTATACCGTGACTGCCCATCAGTGCTGAACGCCCAGCCTGCTTTTTCTCACATTTCAAGCCTCCCCACAGGTAGCCATTAGCTTTCCAAACAAACGGTTATTCAGCCTGCTGGCTGAGTGGGCCTCTGATGCCTCACGGATCCTTGCTATTATTGGGTCCTCCAGTTGTGTTCTTTATGTATCCTTGTCATCAGAGGGTACTATACTTGTGATGCCTGTTTTGTAAAGTTTAGAATAATTCATCTATACGAAAACATGCTTAATGCAAAACCTAGACTAAACATAATTAAATCTTCCCTCGGTGGCTCCAGAGGGAGTTGAGAATCTTGCAGTCCTTCAAAAGCATCATTACAGTTCCTGTTTAATTTATGTAGGATTTCTAATTAGCCAACTAATAGAGAATTTCAGCTAGTAGACTATCAGATGTGGTCTTCCCATATTTGCAGGATTTGTGCTCAAGATTTTTACAATTCCGGGTAGGAACACTACACGAACACTCACAATTAAGCTTTGAAGTGAAGGCTTATCTAAAAAACCAGGTACGGTTTATACCAGAATTCAGCTTCCAGCTACTTAATTCTACTGTCGTAAGTAGAGAACATGGGCTTTGGAATTTGACCTACCTGGATGTAAATCAGGGCTCGGTTACCTGTGAACTGTGTGGCCTTGAGCGAGCTACTTACCACCCTGCGCCTCAGTTCCCTCATCTGTGAGATGGGGCTAAGAATTGTCCATATCATGTTTGTTGTGGGATTAAATGGGAATGTACATGCTGTGAGTGGCAGCTTTTCACAACAAAGTCAGTCCTTTCTCCTCTTCCACTAGGGAACTGCTGCTCCCTTTAGTGACCTTTGCTCCATGCCATGGCCACTGACCACACCTCCTCCATGGCCAGCATCTTGCAAACATATTCACGGTGTCCCCGGTGAGAGCGCGGAGATGACACCAGGTTTCCATCCCTTCCAGCAGCAGCATATCTCCCACTAGGACGCAGGCCGGTGTCCATTTAGTGCTCAGCTGCTTACTTTACCCCATCCTCTGTCTTCCAGCCTCTTAACATTGCCTACAGCCACATCTACAGCTCCTACAGGAACTTCGTGGGGCCCCCTCACTTCAAGACCATCTGCAGACTCCTGGGTTACCAGGGCATCGCCGTGGTCATGGAGGAACTGCTGAAGATCGTCAAGAGCTTGGTAAGGAAGGGCTTCACCGAGACCTGGGACATGCCCAAGTGGGGTTGATAGGAACAAGACCTGCTGTCACTTTTTACCTGGCCTGTAAAACCAAGTCGCAGGCACTTCAGCTCTGGGTGGAGGAATCATCAGGGGATACTTTGCTCTCATCCCTTGATTCCTCTTACCTATCACTCTTACATTTCTGTGCTCCTTCTGACTTGTAGCCGTGCCTCTCATTTTCTGACCCTGAACTCACTCCTTGTACTTGACACTGAACTCGGCAATTCTGATGTTGACCTTTAGGGCTCACGACTGACGGCTAGTACTCCCCTCCTGTGCTGTGTTGTCTAATTTCAGTATGGGAAACCCATGACATACGTACTACCATTTTTCCCTCCTGTGCCCACTGCAGACATCTCTAATCAATCACCAACTTCTTCCCCCCTGGGATTTCTGGCTAAATGCTGCTACCAATGCTATACTGGCCTCAAGGAAAATCTGTATCCCCAATGTATGCCTTTACCACCATTCTGCCTCTGCCCCAAGTATGGTCATCTGAACCTTCATTTAATTCCCCACAATACTGCTGAAGCAAGGCTGAAACATTTAAACAAGATTTCCCTGAAAATGTGAAATGACAAAAGAGAAATTAATATATCACTGTGTTAGGAATGGCACACAGGATTCACCTGCTAACTTCGGTCCCCTGGTAGTAGCTATGTGGAGCCATGGATTGTTACGGATTATGAAACTAAATCCAGGGTTAGACAAGAAAATGTGGTAATTGATTAAAGATGTCTGCCTTGGACACAGTGGGGATAAATGTGCTGTGTATTTTCCATGCTTAAATTAGATCGTGTGTGTCAGTCTGCACAGCTTCCGGGCCCCATTTCATTTTAGCTCTTAGTCTGGATCTCATGTAAGCCCCTAAACCCCAGGCAGGACACATGCCGAGAAATTCCCCTCCTTAAAGTCCATAAGCCCAAGGGAGTAATGAGAGAGCTCCCTTTTCTGTGTTATAAAGGACACCGGGGCTGTCCTCCACCTTGAGGGGAGAACCTGCTGCACCCTCTCTGGGAGCAGTGCCTTACTGTCTTAGCTCAGGCTGTTATGACAAATTTACTTGGACTGAGTGGTTTAAACAACAAATGATTATTTCTCACTGTTCTGGAGGCTGGAAGTCCCGAGACAGGATGCAAGCATGGGTGGGTTCTGATGAGATGCCCCCTCCTAATTCACAGATGGCTGCCTTCTTGCTGTGTCCTCACATGGCAGAGAGAGATCATCTCTGTTGTGTCTCAGGAGGGCATTAATCTCATTTGTGAGGGCTCCACCCTTATGAGTAATCACCTCCCAAATGCTCCACCTCCTAATACCATCACGTTGGGGATTAGAGGTTCCACATATAAATTCATGAGGAACACATGCAGTCCATAGCACTTACTCAAAGGTCTCAGCAAAACCCCATAAACCCCAATAGCCTAGCATTCAGCCCCAAGATACATACACCGCAACAGTGGGTTATTTCAACTTGTACTCTTCTCTTGTCAGCTCCAAGGAACCATTCTCCAGTATGTGAAAACTCTGATCGAAGTGATGCCCAAGATATGCCGCTTGCCCCGGCATGAATATGGTTCCCCAGGTTGGTGATGGGGAACCTGGAACAGGGGGTGATGGTAGGAAAATAACCCAAACCCATCCCATGGTGGGGAGGGGGCTCCGGCCATCTACCTTGGGGTGTTTGCGTCTCTAACATAAAGGCAAGCTGGCAGAGCTCTGGGTTCGCATCTTCCCTCTGCCACTAGCTAGACAGCCTTGAACCATTTTTAATCCCTCTGAGCATCTGAGCAATAGTATCATCTTCCATCAGCAAGGGTAAATGAAGCCTGCAGGGCTCCTGGCAAGCTGGAAGAAGACCACAAATGTGAGAGTGTTTAAATAATGAATAGCAGGGTTTACTTGTAAAGGCCTTCGTTAGCTCAGCGCCTCTAGGATTCCTTCTTCCACTTGCCCAGTTGGAGAAGGCTGGTGCCCCAGGTGGCATTTCCAAAGTGAGTCAGAAAACAGGAATTTTTGGCACTCGACCTGTGGGCAGAAAAGTGATTCTTTCATTCCCTCCTAGTAAATGAAGCAGGGACTGAATCTGGGGCCCGAGGAATGTGGACAGATGGAAACTAAGAATTTGGCACCTGGTGTTTTTTCTAAAAATAAAGATGGCAGGTGCTGGATCAGGGTGATTCAGAATATGAAAGGGCTGGGGCTGAAAGCTCTGGGTTTCAGTCTCAGCTGCCCCTCTTACTAGCTGTGTGACCCTGGGCATGCCACTTACCCTCTCTGAGCCTCCTCGGAAAATGAAAGTACTAGTGCCTTGTTCATGGTGTTGTTATGAGCGTTAAATGAGATTGCAGAGAACGTTCTTAGTACAATATCTAACACCTATAAAGAAATGTTAATTCCTGTTATTACTAGGAATTCAGGTAACTTTGTAGAGGGCCCGGGAAAGACTCACGGCTGCTCATTGTGTGTGTGTGTGTGTGTGTGTGTGTGTGTGTGTGTGTGTGTGTTTTGTCTTGTTCCCAAAAAGATTTGAGCCAGCCTCCTGAGCTTTCTCCCATACTGAGCCCTGAGAGAAACCTCACCCCTGGGTCCGCAGATAACAGGAAGATTAGGTTTTCTGTTATCCCAGAGTCATGTCTGGGGCTGCTGCTCAGTTGACACTTGCCATAAACCCGGCTGAGCCGTGTCACCTTCCCACTGACCATCCCCCTTTATCCCCAGGGATCCTGGAGTTCTTCCACCACCAGCTGAAGGACATCATTGAGTATGCAGAGCTCAAAACAGATGTGTTCCAGAGTCTGAGGGAAGTCGGCAATGCCATCCTGTTCTGCCTGCTTATAGAGCAAGCTCTGGTGAGTCCTCAGCCCAAAGGGATTTGGAGCATCCCAGGCTGGAAGGGACCCTGTACCCTAATCAGACACCTGAGGCCCCTCTACCACACCTTCCCAGGGGACCCTGCAGCGTAGATTCGTGCTCTTCCAGTGTGGGGATGCACACCACTTCTCCGTTCCGTCTCAGGCAGCCCTGACCATGCGACTTCCCCAGCTCCGCCTTTACTAGCTGCCAGGCCATGGCCATCTGTCGGAGTTTTTGTTTTCCATTCACTCATTAAACCAATAATGACTTTCTGGCTGCCACGGGGCAGGCGCTGCGCAGTGTGGTGTAGCAGTAGCCAGTCTCTGCCTCGTGTCCTGCACGGTGGTGGGGAGACCCATATTGAACAAGTATGTACACAGAAACGATGTGTTTACAAGTACAATGAGTGCCGTGAGGGCAAGGCAGGGGCCAATGGGAACCTAAAACCGAGAACCTGGTGTGGTCTCGCTGGTGAGGGAGGACTTCCCTGAGGAGCTGACCTGCAGAGTGACCAGGAATGGGCCTGGTGAAGAGCCAGGGACAAGAGTCCCAGGCTGAGGGAAAGACCATGTAGTGTTATCTTGAGTTTGTTGTGATGGGAGACAGCGATTCTGCCCTGCAGGGGAGTTTAAAGGCTGCAAGGAGAGGACGCGTGTACAGCACATACAGTAAGCATGAAATAGTTGGTCGTGGTATCATAATAAGGAAAAGAAAAGCATGGCGCTCAGTGCACCCACCTCTTGGGACCACACAGAACCAGCGCACTCTTTTCCCCGCCTGACTGTTCGTCTACCTTTGCCAGCCCTGGGCTTATCACAGAGGCCGCATTCTCCACATTCTTCCCAGCATAAGCCAGTTCATTGCTGCTCTTCTCCGTGTGTGTGTGTGTGGGGGGGGGGTGCACAGGTGGGCCCAGCCCTACCTGTGTGGGGGTCACCGGTACCGCCGGAGCCGTGGAAGTGATGTTGCTCTGGGGGCGCATATTCCTCAGAAGGCCGTGGGAGTGCGGACGTCCATTCCTGTATTCATCTGTCCGTGACATGCGTTCAGTGAAAGGGGATTGACAGCTTGCTCATTGCCAAGTGCAGTTCTAGGTGGTGGGCAAATGGCCATGAACAAGAGAGATTATTACTATTTTTATCCCAGAGAGAGAGGTGATTGAAGAAGTAAACAACCAAAGGTTGAGAATGCAGATGGCAGTACGTGCTGTGAAGGAATAAACAGGGAACTAGGATAGACAAAGAGTGAAAGGTGTTGGGAGGGGTGTGCTGTTTTTGGAGAGGATGGAGCTTGATGTTTTTCTGTGAGAAACAGAAAGAACATCAGAGTGAGCTGGACGGAAGAGGCAAAGGGTAGGAGCTGAGGTGGGAGAGGCAGGTGGCCACGGTCCCAGGGCCTGGGGACCACTGTAGGAAGCCCTAAGACCATTGTGAGACGGAGAGTGAGGGGCTCTGATTTGTGTTTTTGAAAGGCCCTTTTGGCTGTTGGGAGAAGAGCTGGCTGGAAGGTGAAAGACAAGGCTGTTTGAAGCTGTCTAGTCCAGGGGTCATCTTGCAGGCAGGAGGCACATGGAGAGAGGAGGCGGAAGGAAGGCGTTAGGAAGGAGGTGGAACAGAGGTGGAGAAGTGAGAAGGAAGCCGTAAGCGCAGGAGCTCAGAACAAGAGCCCGAGAGGATTCTTGCCTCCAGTCGTCTGTGTGACCTGGAGTGAAGCAGCTCACGCCATGCCTCAGGGTCCCCGTCTCTACAAGGAGGAACATGTGCCAGCTGCTAGTTCAGACCCTTCCCACCGGAGGAGAGTCTCTGACATGTGCAGTTTTGCTCTTCCTCCATAAGGAGTAATTGCCTTTCTGTTCCCCTTTAAATGGACTCTCAAGACAGCTAAGTGTTCCTCTTTATAGTAACAGGTTTTTAACACGGTTCAGTGGGCCTGGGTTGCTATGGCAACTTAGCCTTCAGAAGTCACAGGGATGAAATAAGTAAGAAATACTGCTCTGCTCAAGGCCTCAGGAACATGAGGAGATGCCCCATGGGCACCAGGAGGAGTGGAGGTGGGGGAAGGTGGGTCCCCGAAGCCTTAGTTACCACGAGTTTCCTGTTTGCACCTCCTTTCTTGAGGAGCTGTGATCTGAGAGCATCAGTTGAGCTTTCCTTGTAAGAGACCCTGAGAGGCAGACTATCAATGGAGCTACAAGGAAAGGGAGAATTTTTCTCAGGTATCTCTGCCTGAATGGCTTCTTGCATATATCACTGAGGACAGCAGATACTCAGGATCAAAGACTTTCAGAGCTCAGAGAGACCCCAGCAGTATATATGTTTTAACCCCTTCTATGTATAAGTGAGGAAATGGCAAACCAGAGAGGGGAACAACTCACCTGAGATGACACAGGACATCAGCAGCAGAGGTGGAAGAACGAAACCATAGGTTTCCAATCCTGTTCCCAGTCCTGGGGGGATATGGGGTAGGCAGACAGCAAAGTTTAGGGCTCCCCAAAGCTGGGTACTCTGCTTTCTACCTAGACAACTGGGGAAATCCCCAAGCTAAGACAACGCTTTCTGAGATTAGAATGAGGCATGAGCTTTCTGGAGCCTTTTACTTTCCGAAGCTAAAATTACATAAATATTGAAATGTCATCTCAATTGCTCTTATTCAAGAGGGGAACTAATAGCAAAAAAGAAAAAGAAAAAAATGAAAGGAAGGAACAACTTAATGGCCATCCACAGGGGAAGGACTCTGAAGCAGTTGAAAAGAATAAGGTACTAAAGTACTAAAGTAGCTTTGTGCATATCAACATAGAAAAGGGTGAAAGACATAATATTGAGTGGGGGGGGGGGAGCAAGTCCCAGGACAAGACACACATTATGATGCCATACATGTAAAATCAACCAAAAAAATAATAAAACCCACTAAGAAATACTGCTCTGGAGAAAAAAAAAAACTAGGAAAAAGCATACCAAGTAGTTTAGTCATTTTCTCCAGGTATCAGGGATTAGAGGTCAACAGGGACTTTAGCTTTATCCGGAATCTCTGATATTTTACAAGGAAAGTATATTTGAACTAAAAGTAAATTTAAAAAATAGAAGTAGCATACACATAATAATAGTTTTAGAAAACCTGGAAGGATACCAAGAAGTACAAAATGAGAAGTCTTGTGCCCATTTTTCTTGTGTGCTGTCTGTCTTTTGCTGATAGATTTGCTGAGTTCTTTCTGGTTGTGGGTTTCATATTGGTATATATTCTGCAAACACCTTAAGTATCTATTTATCAGTCTGTTGTATGTTTAAAGGACATACTGTCATTAATGACTAGTATTTCCTGTACTATCTCCTATCCTGAGAAATCATAAGGTGGTCATTAGGGAAATACTATTCCACAGTCACCAATTTTTTTGTTCAAAGTCTGTGAGGTTTTCGAGCCATGTCTGTGTCCTCAGCATCTAACACAGGGCTCATGAACTGTGGCCTAAATCATGAGGGGAGAGAGACGTTTCAGTTTGTTATGCCAGCACACACCAGGAGATGGCCCTATTCATTCACGTGAGTGAGGGAGGGCCTGAGTCCCCGGGAAGGAGGCTGCCCTTTGTCTGCCTGTGGCGCTTCCCACTGAGGCCTTGAGACTGTCCCCTGCTTTTGACCCTGTTGTTTATTTCTTCCCTCCTCCTTAGAGTTGAGTGGGCCACAGTCACACTCTGGTCAGTCATGAGAGCATTACTTCTTTGACAGGAGGTGAGGAGCATCTAGGCCCAAATAAGAATCGAATGTTGGTCAGATCTGGGAAAACCCAGAGACCGTCCAGGGCGGGTGTCTCAACCTCCACACCACTGATATTTTGTACTGGGGGCTGTCCTGTGCAGTGTAGGATCTGGGACAGCATTTCTGGCGTCTACCGGCTAGATGCCAGCAGCACCCTCCCCAGCTGTCACAACCAGAAAGGTCTCCAGATGCTGCCTAATATTCCTTTGGAGCACAAAAGCTTCCCCTGTTGAGAACCACTAGTCCTCCATTGTGCAGATAGGAAACTGAGGCCCCGAGAGGGAGACAACCTTTCCAGGGTCACTGCTAGTGTAGGAGCCGGGGCGAGAACCCGGATCCTTATGGTTCGCATACTTAGCGACACAGAGCTGCCCTGCTGAGCTCTGCAGATAGCTTGGTTGGGTTTCGTTTTGTATTTTTGTTTCAGTTCCAGCTCCACATCTGGCCCCTTTATCTCCTGCTTTCACTTTATAGCCTCTCTTCTTTAATTTTGTTTTTCTTATAACTGAGATAAAGTCATTGCTAGAAAACCCAGAGAAGCAGAAAGGAGAAAACCAAAACCACATTGCCACATTAAGATAACTGTTGTTCACGTTTTAAAGGATGTCCCTTCTAGATGTTTTTTATGTTCCGGCATCTTAATATTAATTTTTCTCATATATATGTTTTTACTTTGTTGGGTTAGAAAAGTAATAATATTCCCCACGCTAAGAAGAGCGATTGCCTCTGTGGGCTGTGATGGGGGTGGGGGCAGGGACTATAGGGGCCTTTTACTTTTTACTTTACACTCTAAATTATTGATTGAATTTATTGCGGTAAACGTGCATTGCTTTCCTCCCTTAAGAGGAAATACGTGCACACTTAACAAATGTATACAGTCCTGATACATGGGAAGTAAAAAGTAAAAACCCAGCCTCCATCACCATCTCAGACCCTCGCTCTAGAATATATTCCCACCTATACGTGACCCGGGATTATTCTGCCCGTCACCCTGAGAAAAGACTTCCCACCTACCCAGGTGGCGCATCCTGCCCCTGTGCCCAGGCACTGTGAAGCAGCGCTCCTTGGTTTTTGTGTATGAGTGTTTCCTCCACCCCGGTGGTGTTCTTAATGGACAATGAACCAAGCTTTGTGCAAAGGAAGCATCTTGACTCTCAGAAATACCTTTCCTTTCCATGACTTTAAAGTTTTTAAGTATATAAAAACGTGTCTTCATCTGGAAAACAAACCTGTTAGGCTCATCA